TCAAAATGGTTCAATTTCAAACGTGAGTGAAATTTAAAACTTGCACCTTCAAGAGGCACAATACCTTGAAATAGATAGAATGGCGTAAGATCAAACCTTTCAGTAAAACTTGATACTTGAAACATGAAGAAGAATTGCTTGAATATGAAACTGATGGCATAATGGGAAGAGCAGGTTCTGTTATTATACAGGGTGACACTTTTAAAACTTTCAATGGGCGATATCGTTTTTTATATTAGAGGTATCACAAAATGGCCAAAACCGTTTCGGTAGAATCGAGGGGGAAGCAAAATGGTCGTATAAAGAAGGAACCAACTTCAACCTCGTACCCCCCGCCACCCCCATGCCTAAATTTTGAATTGTGACGTATCACTTGTGATACATCATTGGAAAGCTCTTAAAAAATGCTTTTCAGAAATACCAACACTGGTACATTTAAACTGCCCATTCACAATTTATTACACTAAAATTTGAACTCCGCAAATAAACAACTTTTATTTAATAAAATGTTCACCGTTTTGTTCTAAACAATACCACAAACGGTTTTCAAATTCATTTCTAACATTTTTAAACACTTCCCTGGAAAGTGAACGGCACTCCCTGACTATCCGGTAGCGAAGATCTTTTATGGAAGCTGGTTCAGTTTTGTACACAACCGATTTTAAATGACCCCAAAGAAAGAAATCCAATGGTGTCAGATCTGGAGATCGTGCTGGCCATTCTATAGGACCTCTTCGTCCTATCCACTGTCCCGGAAATTTCTCATCTAAAAATTCACGAACAGCCATAGAGTAATGAGGAGGAGTCCCATCTTGTTGAAAATGTATGAAATCGTCAATCAAATTCATGTTTCCGTCAATTGGATTTATTTGATTCTCTATTTCATGCGTGATGAGAGGCTCGACGGTATTTTGTAGCATGTTTAGGTAAGTATCTCCAGTTAAATTTCCTTCGATAAATAGAGGACCAATTTTTTGGGGCCGTTGAGTATGCCCCTCACGAAAAAGATGAGGATTTTTATCGTCCCAATACCGGCAGTTATGTTTGTTCACATTTCCATTTAAAAAGAATGTACATTCATCACTAAAACAAATGTTTTTCACCAGTTCCGGATTATTTTGAATATTCTCGGTCATTATTTCACAAAATTGGATTCTTCGATCGGAGTCGTCTTCGGTTAGTTCCTGTACAATCTGCATCTTATAAGGGTAGAATTTGTGCACCTTAAGAGTTCATCGTACAGTTTCTCGCGAAAGTCCGGTCATAGTCGCTGCTTTTCGAATAGATGATGTTGGGTTTGCACCAAAATGACTTAAAACTTCAATCTGAGTAGCTTCATCCATTATTCTTGGTCCGTCTCTTTTCTTATTTTCCACTGACCCAGTTTCTTCAAATTTAGTCACTAACATTGCAACATAAGTGTGACTGACACGTCGTTCTGGGTGTCGGGCATTAAAAACAGCTGCTGTTCTAAATGCAGATCGCGCTTCAGAACCATAGATGAAAATAATTTCAACTCTTTCGGCTAACGTGTACACCATTATGAAATCTTTAGTTAAATTCAAAATTTGTAATTTTCTTGCCAAGAAATACTAAAAACGAGACTAAAATAATAATAACCGATCAACAAATAAAGCAATAGAAAATTATTATTTACTAAAAATTGCTGTCATTGTTTTTCCAAAGCATCACTAGATCTAAGAAATTTTTTTTTATTTCAAACACTGACAAATTCATCAAATACTCAAATTACTCATTTTTATTACATAAATTGTGAATGGACAGTTTAAATGCGCACCAGTGTATGGTATTTCTGAAAATCATTTTTTAAAAGCTTTCCAATGATGTATCACAAGTGATACGTCACAATTCAAAATTTAGGCATGGGGGTGGCGGGGGTACGAGGTTGAAGTTGGTTCCTTCTTTATACGACCATTTTGCTACTTTTTTTGGACACTGCATTAATGCTTAGATTTTGTTTAATTTAATTTAGATGTATGGAGGCAGATTTCTTATCTATAGATTTTTTAAAATGTTCACCAGAGATTCTTCTAGTAAAGGCAAACATATCGCATACTTTAAACATCAGGTGTGTGCATGCGCAGACTACGCAGTCTTAAGTTTCTTATTTATAAGAATATTTATGCCATAACTTATTTTCATTTGTACACACAAACCGGAAGTACTGATGAATTCATGGCGAAAACTGTTTTCATTTTTAAAAACTTGCCTGCCAAAAATTCCCATTGTTCAGGCTTTAGCGAGGCGGGTAGAGGCGCAAATTTTAGTGATAGCTTACATGTAACTTTTGCCTTGAGCCGGACCTGCTTCGTCGTGCCTTTTCATGCGCCCGAAGTGGGTCACGTGTGCGTCCACTCGAACGCACCCTCCTCGACCGTGTCGTTCTTTCTCCCTCCAGAATATAAGGGAGACTCTTGGTTGGGAGGTTCGATGTTCTAAGTTAACATTTTCGCTCTTCACTCCGTCAATTGTGGTCCGATCGAGCCTCTTTTTTCTTTGGCCTACGGAAGAAGAACTGTGCTTTCAGGGAATGCCGAAATCGAATGATGCTGTTTAACCTCGTGAGGGGGCGATGTAGTCGACGAGCGAAAAATAAACGACACCCCTCGTTTGACTCATTCGAAAGCACATAGACAAGGATGTTTAAAAAAAGGTGGCTCGTTGGAGGAATTACACGTCCCCCAAATTTGGGTCAACTTTTTAGGGAATGCGTTGGAAAGACGGATCAATTTTTAGCACTTTGCTGTTGAAATTTTTGTGCGTATTTTGCGCTTTTTGTTTTGTCCAGTTGGCCCTAAGTGGCTACCACTAACACTACCTAAAATCGAGATTTCGACAGTCAGGAAAGTAACACCACCTCTCCATGAGCAAATTCGAGCCGGATACGAAAAAAATTATTTTGCGCTCCAGGCTGCAAACCGGTTGCCGGTCAGCGGCCAGCTCTTGATCGCCCTTCTATATAGTTAGCAACGAGGCTTCAACGGAAATTCTCAAAATTTTGAACCATTTTCAGTTTACCAGTCCAAATTGTATTAGTTTATCAGAGAAGCTCCATAAATTTTCTTCAATTGGTCAAAGAATATCCGTTCTTTGTAGTCCCCGCGTCCCCCATAGGTTCCAAGAGTATATTCATCCCTATAGAAAAGTGTCTCACCGTATATGTATCCCTGGAAATTCGTTCACACTTCTGTAACAAATTGGCCCCCGGAACATTTGCGTTCGGAATTTTACCTCTGTAATAGTTTCCCCCTCAAAAAACGTTCCCCAAATATTAATATTCATATATATAACTTTTTAATACAAAACTAGTCGGAAACTAAGGGGGATGATATTTTATAGTGGGATAAAGCTATTCCATTTAACAGAAATTTGCCAATTTGAAGGGAATTTGGGAAATGGAAAAGTGCATGAGAGGAAACTCGTCGAAAGGAGAACGAAGAACATAAGTTAAACAATGACATAAGTGAACCTTAACAGGATGACCGAGGAAAAAGTTTTGGGTGTGCGACGTGAATTTGATGATAGGGGGAGAAGGGTTAAAAGAAACTTACGGGGAGTGTTATGTATTCGCTGGACAAAAGGTTGTAGACTTTTATTCTATTGACAAATTACCAATTTACAAAATTACAGAGCTTATATCTCTATGACAACGTCAGCGCATCTTTACACAATTATTATGAATAGCTTAAATACATATCAGGATTCAGGAAGGATCAATTGCAACAATATTTGTGGCTGATTTTGTTTAAAACTCTCATGCTGGGAATAATCTTGGTCTCGGAAGAACAAAGCTATGATAAATTGGTAAGATTTTAATGATCTTTCTTCTAATATAATATGGAGAGCGTATTGACTGATTTTTACACACATTTTTTTATGCAGTTCAACTAAAATTACTGCAGGGTGATGAATGGGTGTCTAATCGGCTAATCTACCCTGTCTAAATAGTAGCAGTAGAAAAAGCGTTAAATGTTAATAAACGAGTTCTGGAGGAAATTAAATGTACTTTCGAGATTAAGTATAACTGTACAGTAGGTAAATTACTTTTCATTTTTTATGTGTTCCACATCTGCTCTCCTTGACGCTCATTTTTATCCTTCGCATTAAAAGCTCTAAGTTAACGATCGGCGTAGCTATAAAAATAACGTTATTGTACTACCAGATAGTAATTGTTTCGTAAAACAGACTTAGTACATTGTTAACAGTCTAAGAATTTATTGAAGCGAGCATAAAAAATCCTCCCTTATATTTATTTACTTAACTCTCTACTAATCCACATAATCCTAAAAAAGACGCCGCTCGTAAAAAAAACGTCTAGCGCCATAATTGTTTATGTAAACCCTCCTATTAAAATATCCAAAAAGATTCTAAAGTATCATCCTTAAATAAAATAGGTGCATAAAAAACGCTTGTAAAGCTACGCCGACGGTTACGTTGTCGTGCACCAATAGGATTAAACCATTGATACTGTTGACAATATCACATCTTGATAAACTTTTTGAAATTTAATCCGTGTCGAATGTTATCTCATCCTGCAAGATCGCTTTAGTAAATATATGAACCGTGTAACATGGAAATTATGCACCGGAACTGATGTTTGCTTTGGCTACCTGAATTTTGAAGAAAAAAAAGGTATAATGGCGTTTGATTATATACCTAATAGATCGTTTCTTCTTGTTTTCTCACAAGTTTGCAGATTTATTTACAATGTATCCACTTGATTTGAAATCTACACCGTGAATAGTTATACCTACCTGGATTTGGGGGCTATACCTTTTAATGTAGCACTTTGAGTTCGTATTGTCTGCACTGTAACTCAAAGGCTATCAAGAAAGTTCATCTTAAGTGCATTTTGCAAGTTGTAATTTGTTAAATCAATTTTGAGACTGTGAGAGAATGATTTCATTTGAATAACGTGTTTTTGGACACGCTGTATACAGTAAAAAAAACCATATACTAAAGTTATATCTTTGTTTCAGTTGCGGATGGCAAACAGTCTACACGGTTCAGCACACCATGGTCATCACGGCGGGCCGGTGTCTTCACGTTGTCATGGACCTCCAAGGCATGGGCTACCCCTACAAGTAGGACTCCCTCTAACCCCACCTTAGCCCCCAAAGCTCGTAACCTACTTCACCTAAATAAAAATTCATTAGTGCAATGTGCCAATTAACTAACAAAAACTTTCTCTCACTTCAAACTCTCTCTAGACACAAATCCCGGATTAGCAATAAATAATAAAAGGGCGCGATTCTCAATATCGACTGACGCTCCCTTACTGCGTGTCAATATTTGCTTACGGAGCCTTTTTTCTCTTATGAAAATGCAATTGTAGACTTATCGTCAAGGAAACGACGAGGTTTTCTTATCAACTTTCAATTAATTAAGTTCAAACATAGGAAGTTGCGGTTCTTTCGCGTCGACGTAATTTATGCGTCCAAAATTCTAAATAAATTACGTTCGCCATCTGTTTACAAGTTAATATAATTGTTAACAGTCCTGTACTTTTTTGTTCTGTTAAAAAGCGCAACTAATACCTCGGTAGTTTATGCAAATTGCATCAACCCTTCATTTAATATTAAAGGGACGATACCCAGTTGCTACTAATGGACACATTTAACAATTTATCACACGCGTTTCTCTTTTATTATTAGTTTATATTTGTGTTAATTTCTTCTTCTTCTTTTCTATTCAAATGTAATTAGGAGATTTTTTATGTTAACTATTTTTAAATGCGTGTTGTTGTACAACGGCCTGTAATTAAGTGTATGTATTATGTTAAAGAGATGTATTAAATTATGTTTGTATGTAATTTTGTTCGTTTTTGTTTTGGTCTGCATGTTATTTGGGTTTGTTTTCTAACCAGAAACTAAAAACCTTTTTTATTGAGGTAGGTTGTAAGTATCCACAAAACCACACAGTCCCCAAGACAATTGTAAACAACGAGAATCCAAAGTAACTTTATGAAATGAAAACCGAAGGTTCATGATCTAACCATGATAAACTCTGTGGTGGAACACCACAGCTATAAATAATACCTATAGTGTTTCCCATTCACTAATTTACGCCACTCATCAAAAGTGGTTAGTTTTGGTGAATTATAAAAATATTCAGTTCGCCGGAAATAGTGGTTAAAACGTTATCTGCCACGGGCGTCGCAATGTGAGCGGTAAGTGGAAATATAATTTTACTGAAAACTATAGGAAACAGCTAATTTACAGTGAACAAGGACAACGATTCGTTTTGTTAGGAGTCCTCTACAGAGTACAGATATTGTGTGCAGACACCTTCGAATCGTGGTTCTTAAACATTTATTTTAACGCATTATTAATACAAAACAGGTAAAAAGTATAATCATAAACCATTTCCAACCGCATTTCAATTGGGTGTTATTTCGGATTAGGCAATTGTAAATAAATTTTTAATCCAAACATTCTCTCCTTGTTATAAACAAAGCGTTTTCACGTTTTCCCAAAATTAATTAAAAAATAACGATTTTTAATATTCGGCCTTAAGCTGCTTTCGCATTTTTTTTTTTCGATTTTAAAAGCCCTCACGAACATTTCATACCTTAACGAGAATACAAACATGAAATAATTTAATTTTTGATCGATTGACACCCTTACCAAGTTTGAAAGTGGTGTGGTTCCGGAGCCTTTGTGACTTAGACCGAGACTTAGACAGACAGACAGACAGACATCAAGAGCGAAAAAGTGCACTTTATATTTTTTGAAAGTATGAAAGTGCACTAAAAAGGGGGTAGGATTGTGCATAAAATTGCACGTTCTTCATGCTTATTTCGAAAATTTCAAAGTAACATGCAGGAAACCATGAGAAACTATTTGATCTTGCTATGCTATTGCAGTTTAAATCCATTTTGAACAGAACATAAATAGGAGAAATACTGATTTACCCAAATCAGAAACTGCACAAAAATCAAACCTTTGCAAAAGGGATTGGTGTTTGAAATTGAAATTTATTTTTCTACATAATTATAGAATGTGAAAACTGTTAAAATAAAAAAAGATAGAAGTAGGTATGCGGTAGCTCAAAACGAAGTCCTAAAGGGAAGGTTTACTTCCTCATATAGTATAAGTACAGACATATATATTCTTGTGTTGTGAAGAAAACCAAAGTAAATATCTTCAAAACCGAAGAAATATTTGAATTTTCTATAAGTGACCTTAGGGTTTGATATCAAATCAAATATAGATACACATACAGACCGGAGCTCGTAAAGGGGAGTTTACTTTTGTTTCGATAAAATTGACAGTCCCACTTTCTCCAAATCAAACAGAAATATGCCTATAATTACTAATTACCGACTAATTTGTAACCACAAAATTAGACTTTATATCCCCTTAGTTTTGAATTAAACAAGGAATTCGTGAGTTCAACGTTGTTTTGTATAAGAATTGTTAAATGCTTAAGTTTTGTTTAAATTTATCGTTAATGTTAAGAAGTGTTTAAAAGGTTTATCTGGTTATTGTGATTGGAACATATGTTGTCGCGTTACGAAAGCTAAAATTTAGATACCAAAAAGACACAAAACCTTCTCCATACTAATTTTAATAAACAAATTATTATGGAAGCAGCGACTAGTTTCGACCAACACGGTCATCTTCTGGCTACAATATCTTAAGCAGAATACAGAATAAAACTTTTTAAAACATTTAGAAGTACACAATGCAAAATTTGTAAGACAGCATGGGGAAAAAACGATGACAATTACACAATAACATAAAAAATTCCATAAGTGAATATAATCTTATTCACATGATATAAAATTAATTGACTTTAACCGTTGACTGAAGGATAGGATTTATCAGTCAACCCTTTAACATTAAATGAAATGTCAGGCGTAGGTGGAAGACGCCATCCGCTGCTTCCATAATTTGTTTATTAAAAGTAGTATGGGGAAGGTTTTATGTCTTTTTGGTATCTAATATACACAACCCCATCTTGAGTTTCATCACACGATCGATATCTCCGATTCAGGTAAAATTTAATTAGTTTCAAGATGAGTACGTGTTATCACCGGTAAGAAAACAACAGGTGTGCATTTTATTTTAAAGCTGACGTTATTTAAATTTGGATTTGTTTGACTATTTGTTAACGAAATCTTAAAGGAGATTTTTAAGGTGAAAGAGGGGGAGATCCTTTAAATAAGAGAACATAACGAGAAAAATAGTTGTTTGAGTGTGGGTCAATCAGGCTGTACAATGCATAGTGCATACCTTTCCACTCATTTGAATTAAAGTCAATTCGTGTGATCAAGATTAAATGTAATAGAAAAGAAGGGAAGTTTTTTAAGCTGAAAGTAACTATGATTGCTTTAATTAATTGTCAATCGACCGCTTACAAGCGTGGTATCTGTAAATAGGGCCTGAGACCTGAGACCCTCTTTCAGCTTTCAGCATAAACTAAATAATGATTTTTCTAATTTTCTCGAAAACGAATCGACCGATTTAAAAAAAATCAAACGTCAAAATAAAGGACTTCGACATACCTTTCAAATAAGCTATTACTCGATACCACTTTTCACTTAAAAGTTTAAGGGAATGACCCTAGGGGGTGGAGGGTGAAAGGGGGTGAAGTAGTTTTTGGTTAAAAAGTTGTCCCCTCGACAAATCTTTTGACGAGTCTCGGCGTTTTTTCCTTTTATCAGTGGTTTTAGATAAATCCGTGGGAAGTTTTCTAATGAACACCCTGTATATTCAAAATCTACGCTATATAATCCAAAAAGAATCATTCCCTTAGAAAAGTACTTCACAATATTCCATTTTCTTTTTGTAGGTACCCTCCCCCGACACTGCGTTCTCCATCACCAGTAGACGTGTCTCGGCCAAACATTACACTTTCCCTGTATGAGTACCCTCACCAATAGACATGTCTCGCCAAGATGATTCATATGAGGAATTATAACCGGCCACGATAAGGGGTCGGGGAAGAGGACTGTGGTTGATAGAAATATTATAATACCAAGAAAGATAAAATAAATTTCTAACCCTCTCCCCGTCTTCCACACATTACAAAAAGGAGTCGCGGAGGAAAGTTATAGTTTGCAGAATGTGTAGAAAATATTTGTGTGCAAAAATTAATCCTTAATTTATACGCTGCATTTCTTTTCATTCATTCTGAGAATTGCTTTTGCTTTTCAGTTAAAAATTGCTTAAATAAAGTATAAATTGTTAGAACAATGAAAGTGTAATTTGGGTACAAATTCATAGTTTTTGGTGCAATTAATAAAATTTAAATCAGAAAAAGTGGGGGTGTTAGATTTCAAGTTAGCACTCCCACTTTAAAAATCGGATTTCAGACGCAACTAATCGGATACAAATGCTAATTTTGTGGGCACAAATTAATCTTAAATTATAGGCATATTTTTATATGATTTTGCAAAGTGGGGTTGTCAACTTTATTGCCCTTGGATATGTACCGTTGGGGAGATATACCTCCTCACACTAAGAGTGAAAAAAAAACAAATATCTCGACTCAGCTGTGGTTTAGTTTTCTATTGGCATCCCTTACCTGCGGGTTTGATATGAACCGTTAAGCTCCTAGAGGATGTGAAACGTCTGTGAACAGAGGTGAAACAAATCGAAGTAAAATATGTTGAAGTCTAATTGTGTTACGGAATTTTCATTCTATAATCCTTTTTTTACCCCTGAAGGGGATGAATTCGTATGATTGTACATGGGAGGCATTTTACTTGAAGAGTCATTATGATCCACATAAGGTCGAAAAAGGGGAGTAAACAGAAGTAAATATTTTGAACACTCAAAAATAGCTCATTTATCCATTCCTTGAAGGGTTGATATGAACCGACTGGGCTCCTAAAAGAGAGATTTAGCTTCTGGCAGTATATGTGAAAAAAATCCGCAGTAAACATATTAAAAATTGAAAGAGTAGTAGTAGTAGTGGTAGTAGATTTTTTAATTTCCACTTCTTTCTGCACTCCCTCAGGAGTTGCCATGAACTGTAAAAGATCGTGAAGGGGAGATTTACCTTCTGACAGCATAAACTTCCGTTTGACACTTATATGACCTATGTAGAAGTTGAACGACACGCTCTAAGGTAAAGACAAACGGACAAAGCCCATATTTTTTACAATCTTGAGTGAAATTCCCTAAGAAAATCATAATATCATAATAAAAAATAATTTTTTTGACTTGAGTAGCTGCTTCCGACTTTAAAATAAATACAAAAATGTAAAAACGGTTTCTTTAAAAATGCAAAAATTCTAATTATTTTAAAACTGCATAAACGGAATAAATGGTTATTATGGTTATTATTTAAACATACGAATTGTAAAAATCGAAATATTTTTAGCGCATATACTTTTACAAGTATAAATGGTGTAGATAAAAAGCATTTAGAATGCCATGAAAGATAAAATCATATAAATAATTTTTTGAGAAGTTTAAAGAAGCAATTTTAAAAATAGTTTATTGCTGGCCAGGATCCGCCATAATATCACTTTCTACATTTTCAATTTTAATTTGGAAACGCTTTCCTAAATTTCTCCCGTCATCCCAAGTTGTCCCGATTCTCATGATTTTTCAAGTTCTTCTAAGCGCTTCTAAATATCTCTTCTCAAGCTGCTCTCAAATCCTCCCAAAGGCCCCCTAAACTTATATATGCCATATCAACTTTTAAGGAGATGCACTTCGCTAAGGGAATTTAATTTCTGTTAGAAAAATCAAGTGGTTTCTCAACATCTGCTTTTCCTCAAATTTGTGGCTCATTTTGAGTTCTTCCTGAGTGTCCCTTATATTCCGTTCAACTTAATTTCCTCAAATTCCCTTTATATTGACCCTATAAACCTTTGTTCATAAACTCAATGTCTCGTCTAAGTTTCCCTAAAGTTTATTGTACCACTCATATTTCTCCTCAATTGTGCTCATGTATACTTCCATTTCCCTCGAATTCTCTCTAAGTGTCTCTTAATTCTTTCCTTCTTTTCACATTTATTTTTCCCCTCAAGGTTTCTCCATAAGCTACACTTCAGATTGTCAAGTTTCTCGTAAGCTTCCCTTGCGGTCCCATCGCATTCATGTGAGGTTCCCTTCCAGTCCTGCTTAATTTCCCACCATATACATTTCCAAATTCCCATCAAATTCTGCTCTTCCTTAAGGTTTATTATTCCCCTTATATGTATTTAAAGTTACCCTTAAGTCTGAAGTCAGTCTACTGGAATAGTTGCTCATAGTACCTACGGTGACTTTTGGTACCTATTATCCCAGTGAAGCCAGGTAACCATGGGTACTCTTTGGTTCGACTAAGAAAATAAATATTTAAATTACTTCAACCGGAGCAATTGCCCTTCCGATGTGGTTAATTTCATTATATTGAGGTAGACGATCGTTTTATAGTGTACCTACTTTCTACAAGCCAAGTCATTCTAATTAAACCCGCGTAGGTATACAGCCCTCGCGTACGAAACAGAATTGAAGGTTAAACATTTAAATCTGATAAGTAGTGCGTGAAAAAGAATCGAAAAAACTTCGATATTTCTGAACAGCCAATTTAAGCATTATCCCGAATAAGATATTTCAGTTAATGTACGCGATACAGATCGCCTTATCCATTGTTGTCAAAAGTGCAATGTGATATATATACCTTGAAACGATTGTTATACATTTTAGGAATATGTTTGGCCCTTGTCAACAATAACCCAGGTAAAATCACTACTAGTATAGCTACGTCCCTTTTGAAAGCGACTCCCCTTGCTTTGCCACCCCGTACATGTCACTAAGTACTGACACGCTCACAAAACAGAATAGCACTTTTTTAAAAGGTCTTAAGGTTGCACAAATGAATTTTTGTTATGCCTCTCCTCAATTCTCGACCAATCTTCGATTTGGTAACGTGCGACTTTGAAATTGATATGTTTAAAGTTGTCTAAATTCTTGAATGAGATTCAGTTCTGAATTGGATACCTTCACCGACAAAAACGGCACATAAAGACGGATCACAACTCGAAATAAACAAAATACAAACAGAAATTGACACTTTACGATTCAATTTTTCGCAATCTTAAACTTCGCTTTTTTTCTTTTAGGGTAGAAAGAAGAATGACTTAAATCACGGACATCACAATTAACATCGGATTTCCTTTTCAATTCCTCCACAAAGATTAATGTGATATATTCTCTATAATTATTATTGTGTAATTGTGTATTACATAACAGATTGTCACGGTTTTTCCACGCGTACCTACCTAAATTTCTTTAAATTACTTTGCAATTCATTAAGGAAGTGGAAATTTGTAAGCCGCGTGGAAAAACCGCGGACACTCCTTTTTCTCGTGAAGAGAAATCGCAATGTCATTCTTCATACTTTGAAGCTATTTTAACAACAATTAAAGATTAGTGTTATGCGTGATTTACATCAGAGTGATTTAAACCTTGTAATTATATTATTACTACTAATAATTTAATTTTCCATTCCTTTTCCCTTAAATCGCTTTGTACGTAAGAATCGTAAGGGTGCGATCGTCTGAGTGTAATTTGTTATTCTTTACGTTACAATTACATATCTTGTAATAAAATTATTAGTATCAGAATGATCCGTTCCATGTACAATTTTACAGTTTGTGTGGCCTATTATACACGGTGTTTGTTGTATAATCGTACAATATAGAATAAAACTACGTCTCTGTGGAATACAATGCAATTTATTTCACCCTTTCCCAAATCTGTAAAATTACTACATGTGTTCTATATTGTTCAAGTAAAATTTATTACTTTACAGATTAATCTTTTATTCTATACTCGCTACTATTATCAATATTAATATCGCCAATGTATGATATATTTGTAAAGATAGGATTTGGGGTGATGGCGTTATTCGATATTTTCGGTTTTTATCTTAGTAGGAAGCGGATAAAGGATTTGTTAATCAGTTTCCGCTTGGGAAGAAGCCATTAGCGTGAGATTTATATATGACATTTGTCCCTTGAGAAAACTGTTGAAATATATATTGTCTTCGAAAGCGCATTAGCAAAAGTTATAATGTCTATATTTAGCATCACCACTTAACATGTTTTAATACTTATATTGTTTCTGTAGTATGATACAGGGATGATATTTCGATGTTATACCTATAACTTTAAGAAAACAATTTTTAGATTAGTTCTTCAATGACTACCCAAATTTGTCCGTTTAGTAACACTATTAATATACGTTAAGAGCAGGACCAGAAATAAAAAGACGTTCGAAGGTTGGCTTAAGAAAAACGTATTGGACGAATTCGATTTTGAGCAGCGTGCGCCATATTTATACGATGCAATTTAAATAAAAGCGCACCCAAGGTAATAGTACTTTTGGAATGAGTGGGTACGTTTTTGAATATACTTCATCCAATATTCTGCAACACAAGTTAGGTTTTAGGAGGTGGGGAACAAAAAAGTATGACACATTCATAAACTTTTTGGAATGCCTTTGGAGATCTTCACCCTCCACTTAAAAAGCAATCTATACCTATTCTAGACGCCGCCCGAAGGACAAGAGATTCATTGAAGAAGGCATTGTTGAATGTATTGGATCGCTTTTGGGAACGGGAATCCATACTTTTTGAACACGCTTCATCTCTTTACGCGAAAAGCAATTTTAATGGGACAAGCACAGCAGAAATCGGTCGGATTTACATTCAATGGAAAATGCTAAGAGATGGAAGACGCTTCTCAATTTACATGCTCGACGCTGGAATAAAAAAGACATTTTGGAACTTCGCCAAAGAAAATAATTGCTAGTTCAACGCTTTGGCAGATGGGCGTATGGGCAAGTAAGGTAATTCTGGAATGCAACATACTGAAAATCATTTCTAAACGCTTTTCAAGCACTGTTTTGCCTCCCTGCTTTTAGAGAATTTTAGATGCTGGAAAAGAGAATACGTTTGAAGGTTGAATCGCGGCATTGCTAAACTTAGTGAAAACCTTTTAGGGCTTCTCTTTTTCTCTCTACTAAATAATTGGTTAAGAAAAACGCAGGCCCATATCTTTTTTAAATTTTTTCTTTTTGCAGCTCTTTTTACTTGAGGAGAAAATATGGTTCTGAAAAACATTACTAAAATTGATGTAAAGTGTGAACTCCGCCTTGAGGCTGTTAGATTTACTTCTGATAATTTTTAAAAGTCTATGAGAACTTACAAGTGTTCTTTCTGAGTAGAAACCTCTAAGCTCTTCAAGAGTTTCTAAAAGTTTGCAAAAGTCTCCAAGATCTTCTAAGAACTTTGTAAAAAAATATAAAGATATGCGCGTTTATTAACCTTAACGATGCCAAGACTCTTAGAGCTACCTTGAGGCTTTTAGGCTTAAGTAGTCTTCATCAAACATCAAAAGTCATTTAGATGTGTCTTTTTGGGAATATTTTTGAGCATCAAGGGCACGTAACAGTATGCACGGTGTCCCAACGAAAATGTGTAGCCCCATAAAACCCGGTACAATAAATATTTTGACTAAAATTTAAAATCCTGTCGGTATTTATAACGAGGGGGCTTAATTTTCATGCAAAAAATAATTATAGTAATGGTTGTTAATACGTTTTCTAACTCTTCTTCTATTGCTTTAACTTTGGTAAAGAGTCTTTATAAAACATCTGCTAAATAATTTTCAAATGGACACTTGACCCACTTGTTTCTTTACTTAAACAATAAAACCGACTATATTATTGAACAAAATTACAGCAAAAGTAAACGACAAATAAAATACATCAATTATTCCGTCCATTTGTAACAAAATTCTACCAGATTTCCTGATCCAACTTTGAATAATGTTAAATACAATACAAGGATGCCCCGCTTTGCCATTTCCTATAACTTTCACCGAAAATTACGTTACTTATACACATTGTTCAGCAACCCAGGAAGGCATACCCTTATTGTCGGCATTATTTCAACCGAAAGGGTCATACCCCCTGGTCTTCTGAAGGAAGTTCTAAAAACTTGTAATACTTAGGAGAGTTGAGGCGTTTTTTATAGCTTTTATGGCTCCTTAACCTTAAGAATGTGTAATAGTCGTAAAGAGTCCTACATATCAGTTTCCAATAGCTTTTCAGAAGCTTCCGAGCCTCTTGAGATTCAAAAGTCCCCAAAAAGCTTGTAGTAGACCTTTAGTCTTAACAGTGTTTAAGTCCAAATGCCACGGAGGAGATTTTTTGAGCTTTTGATAGTCAGACATTTGAAGGGTTGAATAATATCCTCAAAAACGAGACAAAATCCTTCTAGATTGCTTTAGATCCTTTAAAACCTCTTTATTAGTATTTAAAAGTTACCTTAACAAATTTTCAGTCTCAACCAATGCTTTCCTGTCAGAAAATTCGATGAAATCGGATCATGAAGTTCTTGAATTTTTGCTTTCCTGATCTGTACCTACTTATTTTGACGTTTCAAAAGTTTTTTTTCCAAATATGCATGTTCCTCTTGTATAATTTTGGATGCACGTTAAGTAACGAATGTTTAAGTTCAGTTGTGCTCCGTTTGTTATTTTATAGTGTAGCTATTTCATTACTACGATTAAAAACTAATGTCGTTAAATTAATTAACAGCAAGAGCGCTCGAGTACTTTTAGTGGAAACGGTAGTATAATTACCTTCTTCTTTGGTAAGTCAAAAACTATTTGGCATTATAGTTACAAACGAAGCGAAGCAATATAATACCCGTTAGCGTCGTTAAAATACAATTGCTTTTCACCTTCCTGAAAGAGAAACGCAATGAGACGTTGAAACTTCTAAGGGCACTCAAGCCGAAAACTATTTAATTAAGAAACATAAAACGGCAAGATCCAGTAAACGCACACCAAATCGATAAGTTCACATCCGCCATTTTGAAAGCAGTTTCTATGCCAACGCAAATTGAAACTTACCCTTTACAACAAGGGTGAAAAGATAAACTTGAAACAGAATTCTACAAACGCCGTACCGGTAAAATTTAAAAATTAGATTTTATACACTTCAATACGTTTTATTCTAACCGAACGATTTCGAATGCCTTTCTTTAACTAAAAAAAGGGCAGCAACCCTTTTATTGTATTATACGAGTTTAATGTTTCGGAAAAATCACGCCGTAGTTTTATTATGTTGTAATACAACATCATTACATTGTAAATGGTTCGTCGAGTCCGCCGAAAATTTGAATTAAAATTTTTGCCCTTCCTTAAGCTTATACCTACAGCATGTAATAAGTATTGATCTAAATCCCTATTTTCTTTTGTGCCTTTCAAACCCTTATCCTGTCAATAATATTTCAATCGTCATTATGCCTCCTGACAGTGCTGATTGATCCCCTTTGAAGTGAGAAATGTATAAAATAATGATCAATTCCGCCCTTGTCTAATGATTAACTTTTATTTTCGTTAAGTAGTCTGTCAGTAGGTATGACAAAATGTGTTTGTCGACTGCGTTGACCCTCCTTTCTCATTTAAATTGTTGCTATAGTTACTAATTTTCCTCTGTTACGAAAATACTCAAATCGTCATTCTCACTTGTCCAGCGTAAGAAATAGCGTATAAAAATGCTAGGGGGGATGTTAGGGAAAAAAACCACTGTCCACGGTAATTAATCAACCATTATTAGGTATTTCACTTTAAATCTAGCCACCGTATATAATTCGTAATTTTGATAAGAAAGAAGAAATTGTAAAAACACATTTTGTTTTGTTGGTTGGAGATGCTCAGTTATTATATTAGACGTTGTAACGAGAGCGTATAGATTTAAATTAATTGATTGATTTAAACTTTTTTGATTTTCCCGCAGATATAAGTAGAGTAGAATTTTTAATCTGTAAAAAAGTTGGTTTCCCAAACAAATGTTTCCCATGGTAATATCAAGAATTTGATCTTGATGATTGTAGGCAATGTAATGTGCTTCAATGAGCTTGTGTATAGTCTTACATTAATGAGCCTGAGAAAAGTTCGTAGCGTAAAAAATGCTGAGCGAATGGTTTTTTGAATTGCGGAGTTTTGGAAAACCTCAGGATTGGTTGAAAAGAAAACGTTAACCAATAGGGAACATAGAAAAGCGACCGGCCTATGGAAACGAATTGCGATCGATTAATTTGGATAAACGACTACAGTTGCCTCGCCTCGATGCGGTGGACACCCAGCCTTAAAGTGAGCAAAGTCGTTTGTTACAAAATTAGTTTTATTTTTATGAATTTCTAATAGCGTCAAGAAAATGAATATGGATGGTAATGGCATAATACTCAATTCCTTAAAGACTAAAGTATGGATATTTAACACCTTACCATCATGCAAATCCTTTTTTTCTTTGGAATTAAAACTTTATATGCTTTAAATGAATTACCCCAAAAACCTATTTCTAATGACCTATAGTTTCTAAAAATTGGTTTCTTTTTGCAGTAGAGTAGGATTTGAGTTCGACAGTGTAGCTTAAAGATTTTTTTAGCAGGACAGGTAAAGGATTCGGAATTATTATGAGGCGACTATTTATTTTTTTTTATTTATTATCCCCCTCTTGTTCTGGGCCCTCAACAGGCTTGCGCCCAATTACAGAGTAACCCGCATAATGCTTTTTTAGAGGTGCCTCTGCAGATTATTATTATTATGACTCAATAAGTATGTAATACCCAGTGAATGGAACATTAACAGCATTCGCGCTCTGAAAGCGGCCACGTAGGTACGTTAGTAGCGTAGCATACAATTATTGCAATTTAGATAAAACAATTAGCACTAGAATTTGTTATTTTAAAATTGGGTTGGTCCTATACTTAAGGGCTAAGAAAATTAGAAATGTGAGGGCCAATATTCTTCGCCGAAAAGTAGCCACGTGGTAATAGAGAAATGACACTTCGGCTTCATCGGCGACATCATAAAACCTGCCATTGGTAAATGGCCAATTGAATAATCGAGCACTCTGATTTACTCATGCATGCTACCAAGGTGATATTCAGCGAAATCAAGGATCTAAAACCACTACGTGAAGTCTTCCAGAGGGCAAACCTGAAGAAATTAAAAACGAGATGTTAAAAGCTCCATCCGCCTGAGTTCAGCGACTTGCTACGTTTTTCCATCAATTAAAAGGTACCTATTATTTGCTTTACATTTTGCATGCGAATTATAAGTGTGTTTATATTCGTGCACCATCATAAACTTTTCTATAAAGTTTTACTTATTGGAATTTTTTATATAAACCTACTCATTGCATTGTTTAGATAGGCTTATATAGCTAGAGGAGTATTTTTTGCAAAAAGTAAAAGTACCAAAAAGTAAGTTCCACTCAACCTAACAAGAAGAAGAAGTTGCAAGATCAATTTACACCACAACCCTGAGAAAATCTTCAACCCTTTGCAAGATACCACATTTCAAATGCTTCTATCCCACTTTTGTCATTCCCTGCTTATCATCCAGATCCAGCTTTCGCATCCGTATAGAGCTACACTCCATATGTACGTCCTACGTCTAGGTATAGCTGTGCTAGTTATTTGCCGACAGCGAGTCAGCCAACCGGCCGGTCAAAGTGAGATTAAAAACTCCCTTTTAATTTGCAAAAATGCGCTAAAGAGGTGGTCGTTGTAACATCGTTATTGGAATAGTCGGAAGTGGAATAATAATCTCCCCCTACCATGACTACCCGTTAAAATTCACACCTTTCTTTTTGGGTTACATGATTTAGTAGTATTAGCGCGGTAAAAAACAAATTATGACCTTATTCCAAAACTGCAACACAACTAGTTCTTTTTGCATAAGTGTGTATTTCAACATATTCAAAATCCCCATTAATCTCGTCGAAGGAAATCAATTAAAATCCAAGATGACTGAATTTCCTATTTTTCATTAAAAAATTTAAACTTTGTTGTATATCAATGAAATTTGGCAAACATATTTAAAGATTAAGGTACCACTTACTCCTTTTTGCTTTCAAAATGGCGGCACTTTCATTATTTAACTATTTAGTTTTCAAGTATTTAAATGGCCAGTATTTTGGTAAAAAATGTACATTTAATATTCACTGCCCCTTTTGTTGACCAATTATAGATTTTATAAATAGAAACCAACTATGCGAATAGTTCAAGTGACGTCACACGCTGAAACAAAATTATTTTTTCAAGCGCAACTTTAAAATCTTGTAACTTATTCATTTGTGGACATATTTTAATGATTCATTTTTACTGAAATTTTCATAATTAATTTACATAATATAATGCAGTGTGCTCAGCCCAGGTAGCACCTTTTCACTTAGGACATAGTGGAATCTATGCTTAGGACTAATTGTTCAATTACATTATCCTTACATCCTTCAAGATACCTCATTGTGTTGCAATTTTGCTCAGGTCAAGGGAATTTTTACACCATTTTGACTGTACGATATCCACAGTATTCAAAGGTATATTTTTACCAATTTGAGGCTCACACTGACTTACTGAAGTGTGTGAATTTTTTCTCTGAAGCGTTTCAGACAGCAACTGCTTTAACATTACTGCATTAATGGCAGTGATAGTATTGTTTTCCGACACAGTCTCTTGGTGTAGGTAGAATATGCTATTATTTTACTATAATAGATTTCTTTCATCATATTGGTATAGCCAGCACAAATAAAAGTTACAGAAAATGTTGTGCACGGAATGAATATAGGCAATGGATTGGGTAATTATTAGCTTCAAAATTAACACACTACGTAACGTCGAACAATCTTAAACGCTACAAGGGGTTGCGCTAGCAAATATCCCTTAAAATTTCCAATTACCCTAGGATTAGGCGATACAGCCAACACGTGCATATGGGTGGTCACGTGTTAAAAATATCGACATGAATAATTGATGTGAACAGAATAGAAAACTATACGCGAAGCTAAAGGAATTGCATTTGGAAGCCAAGTATAATTAATCTGACATTAATGAGAGCTGAAAGGTGCACGTATTGATGAAAAAATCAACCCTACTGAAGTTAATAATAGTCGACTACACGATGCGGTAAGGACAGGCATTCTGTATCAGGTGTGGTCTGAGTTCGATCACGGATTAAATTACTCTATACGCGTCGTTGATCATAAGCCATTTGATATGACGAAGCGATCAACGTTTCACGCTTTACTGCGTTATAAGAAACTTGACTTGTAAGGTATTACTATTTTCTCACTGATGGCAAAAAAAGGATCTTATTTGTAAGACACTAATGGATTTCACGGTCCAATTGATCCTGGAAAAAAGGTTTGTGTATTTATTGAATCCATTAGGCTAAATAACTATCAAACTACTATTTAGTAACTGTAAACCGTGCATCTCATACAATCTTGAAGAGGAACTTATTATACTTCATTGTATAATCACGAATTCATATCCACCAATTGTCAGATGCGATGGGATTTGCAAATGTGACTTTCAAATTGATCTGGGATATAAGTGACAATTACATCCAAATGTCCAAGAAATTTAAACATACATGTACTGCCCTTTATTTGTCATAACATGATGTTTCCCATAAGTCAAGAAAGAACCCACAATAATGATTCTGTGTTGTTTCGAAAATCCTATCCTTTACGAAGCACTTACATAAAAATGCAAAACAGTAAGGAACTCGAAATCGACTGACCAAACCAATCTAAAAGAAAACGATCTACGACCACGTCCGTGGCCAAGAGTGGGGATTACTCTCATCCTGTGTATGAAATTTCTACTTTTGAAACCACCCCTGAAATAAATGATTATACTATTCGCCCAATCGGTATGGGGGTTAGAGCTTGCAAAAAATGGAAAGTTTCTGAAACTTTGGTATGTTGTTCGTTCACGGGATCCAAAAAACTTCAAAATGTTTGGACTTTTTTTACATTTTTGCTTCCAGGGCGAAACAGTAAATCCTACACAAACTGTACCTACTGTTATAAAAATTACAGTACCTACAGTACCTACCCAGATTTTGACCTGTTAGAATCTAAAATGATTCGTGACTGAACGACTATAGTGGCAAAACTTTGTCCTGAGAAATCGGTTTTTTGTTCATTACTTTTCATACAGTCATTAAATCCTGAAAATCATATGAACTATCAAGTTTCCGTTACTTTCCTGTCAAGCTTATCACAAGTTCCTATAAAGTTCTCCTCACTTCTTAAGTTATCAACAAACTTCGACTTCCTAAAGAGTTTTGCTAATGTCCCTCTTACGTTGACTACTGAAGTCCATCGTGTTCTCCTTAAAGAGCTCTCTTGCTTATCTCTCTCCCTCCCACATATTCTCTTAAGGTCACTTCATGATCAGCTTTTGCTTACCTAAATATTTTAAAGAGACCATCTCAAGTATATATTATTATGTAGGTAAATCAGAACAACATTAAAGGTGGTTTAAGATTAAGGGTGCATCTCCTTTCATTACATTGAATTTTCTATTTTCTTAACTTCTACTTATCACAAATTTGGAAAAATTAAAATTTACTTGAGGTGGCCATCTCTTTTCCTAGCTTTAAAATAGATCAATGGTTTGAAATTGAATCGCCAATAATTTACAGAACGATCTTTACACTTGAAACACACATTAATTTTTTGATTTTACATTTGCAAATTATTTTATAGATAACCCCTGAAATTGATTTCCTTCACAGTGAAATTTAATGAACTCCCTTTGATTCAAAAAGAGAAAGCTTGATTAGAATAGACAACAAATTCGGAGATCCTTCTGATAACAATACACATTAAAAAGATAATATTTGACATTATTCTCGACTACTTAGGATCTCTCATTTAAACTTTTAATCGTAATGATACACTAGGTCAAAATTTAGTTTTTTCAAAGGATCGCAAAACTGTCGATTGAAATTGACAAAAGAATACCGAAATACGACTAATCCTTTTATTGACATTTTTTTCTTCGACGTGGAAGATTTGGAATCCTTACTTAAACTTTGCTGAATTATTAAAATGGAGTACAGTTATCAGGTGTTTTCAACTGACTCTAAAAAGCATTATGCTGACTCCAGAGCAGAGGCTAATTAATTACTTAACTGGATTGTTATTAAAACTTGGTAGGATGTTTAGGAAATCTTGTAGGTAAACTTTACTAACTACCTTTTTTTGTTAGCGGCACAAATACGGACTTGATGTTGATTTAATTTTACTTAACGTAACGCCACTATGTAGGTAATATACAGTATACACTATACAGGGTCGCTATTGATGGAGCGGAAGCTCTCACTCCCCAACCCTTTCAAGATATAGACATGAAAATTAAAACGCTTCCATTTGAAATTATTTTACATATTTTGGTGTTAAAAAGACTTGTTTTTATACAGGGTGTTTGAGTGCGACCGCCATCTTGTTGTTTTTTAAATGGTAAAATAGGTCATGTGATACGCCATTAGAAAGCTTATTGTTCTCTTTCGTACTACTTTAATCATGAATGGTGCAATTAGAAAATATCGGAGAAAAACTCTGTCAAATGGTCTAAATTATGTATTTAAAATTAAATATATCAAAATACGCTTGGGCGCCTAAACTTGACTTTTTTATGATTTTGATCTAGGATATTCGAGGATGTAAGCAGAGCTTTCTAGTCCGTCTCTCGACTTCTTATGTGATTCCTAATTCAAAATGGAGCTGATCAATTGATCTGGAACAGAATACACGAATGGGTTAAATGCTTCCACTTCCATTGCTTTTGATGGAGTTTTGAGGGTCAAGTCACTTCGATTGTAAGCTTCTGGAAATAAAGTGGTGACCCATCGAGTGATCACGATGCCCCCTATGGAGTCGATCAACGCCATTTCGGTTGCCTAAAACTTGTGTAAATCAACAAGTTCGAACGAATGGCTTTTTCTTCGTGTGGTATTAGCTTAACAACATCAAGGTGAGCAACTCTTGTTGGCAGAAATTGTGTTTCCCTGTTGAACTCGAAATACGAAAATCTAGCACACAATTTGCTAGTTTTCTAATTGTTCTACTGGTTTATATAATTGACCAAAATGTCTGCATTGAATTTCTGTTTTCTTTTGTTTTCTACCGGTTCAGTCGATAAGTAAATTTATTAACAAAGACTGTTTACATTTAAGTTACAATTTACCTATTGTATTTTAACAAAATATTTTTATTTTTCTAGAGTCATCCTCTCCTATGTGGAAGGTTACAGCGAAAGCGTCAGTCAGGAAACCGCCTCCATTTGTAGAAAACTGCTCAACTTAAATAATACAGCCACTTTCATCTTACCTCCTCACTCCTCAGTACAAGGGCTGACTGCATTGGGGGATACACAATATCAGGTTAGCAAAGTGCAAGGCGATAGGGAATACGAAATGTGTAAAAGATCCCATAAGGCCATAAAATATTGAGTATCAAGTATCCAAGTATCCAGTATCAGACGCTTATAAGAGATTTTAAGAGAGATTTGAAAAAAGTGATTCAAAAAAGTTTACAAGTGATAGAATTCAAAAAAGTGATTAAAAAATGATTCAAAAGTGTTCAAAAGGTTTTTTGAATTCAAAAAGGATTTCAAAAAATTTTCTTGATTTAAAAAGGATTGTTTAAAAAAAACAAAAAAATTTTAAACTTTTTTATTGTATTTTTCAATAGTTACATTTGGGAAATTTTTAATAAAGTTTAAATATAGATTCTCTTTTTAATTAAAAAAATTTCGTTTGCTTTCACAGTTTTCATTGTTTTTTTGCTGGGGGGGGGGGGGGGGGGGGCTATGTCGTGTGATGAACTAGTGCCAGCTGCCAGGAAAGTGCAGTTAGGGCAGTACAATATTATTCTAGAGATGAAGCTGCTAGTAGTGAAACACCATTGTCACTTTGATTGACTACTAGTAGCTACCTTAAGAGTAAACCTCGATGGCGGATGGACTGGAATGATGATATGATGATGAGTTGACTAGTTCCTTCGGTCTTCGTCGTTTTAGATAGCTAGCGATGAAGGTAGGTACCGCTTGAGACCGGCTAAAAAGTGAAGTCGGGTTAAAAAAGATCTTTTGATGGGTAAGTATGTATCCCAAAAGAGCAGAGATATTTATGAAATAAATCAGATCAAATCAGTTGAATTTGGCCTGTAGAATCCATAATTTCAAACAGTTCCAAGATTGGCCTACTAGTTCAAAAGTTACAGCCCTTTGAATTTTCTTTCGAAATAGGTTTCTAGTCTATAACTTTTGATTGAGAAGTCTAATCGAAAAAGATAGATAAATTGAGAGAGAGAGAGAGAGATCGTTTATTGAACCATTTTTGTGGTATAACATTGGAACAATTACAACATAATATAAATGTATAAAGATAAAATGTAAATAGACTATAATTTAAACAAACAACAACATAACAATATTAAATGTATATAAAAAATTTCTTTCGATAAAAATGACAGTTAATAAATTGCGATATTTGTGAAGAAGTCTTCCAGTGAATATGGTGCCAATGGCCCGTATGAATAAAAGTAAACAAATGCTTATACTTGCAAAATTCAAAGTAAATACTCGGTAACTGCCCCTTCATACTGGTCTGTTTAGCATGGTTTAGCAGCGCTGCACTGCGTCCTGTCCTTCTGCTTAGAAGCGCTGCATAAGTCGCCCAGTACGAAGGAGCACTTACGAGTATTTACTTTGAATTTTGCAAGTATAAGCATTTGCTTACTTTTATTCATACGGGCCATTGTGTGCTTTTTGCCATTGTTAGTAGTTAATTCGCAATTAACCATCAGGTTGGACATTCGCTGAGGAAGACTGCTGTATATTTGGTGTATGGCTGTATGCCAATTCGAGTACCAGTGAGTCTGTACACTAACGTTTTTACATAACTCCAAAGCTGTATTGTCCGAGAGCAATTGAAAATGATATGAACACTGCTTCCAAGACTTTGACAAAATGGCCAAGTGCTATTTTCCCTTATACCTGCTTTTGTTAGAAATACTGCATGAGCCAATCTGTCTTTTGCCAATCTCCATGCAATCTCACCATCCTTACCCAATGTTATTTTATTAAAAAATGTATTCCAATTCACCTCAATGTCTAGCCACTTTCCCAGGTGTTTCTCCCTAATGCGGTACAAGTTTGCAGATAACTTTTCTTGCAGTGCTTTTCGGATTTTCTTGTCCAGTTTTGCCATACTTCATTTGATTATATTGAAGGTTGAAAAAAAAATACAAGGGCACAAATTGGACAGAGATCTGTAGTTCTAAATTACAATAAATTTGAGGAATTAAATTTATTGCAAAATACAAAATGACTATCTAATTTACCTATACAAATTCTAGTTACTCCTATTTTACAGGGGAATGGCCTTTCGTTTATACTAGCTAGGTAACTGAGATAACAGGTAAAATTCTACTGCGTGAGCAGCAGGCTGACTATTACATTTGGTATACAGGGTGGTGACTTGCGTAACGCATCATAGGGATTTCAATGTAAAATTCGTAACATGCGATTATTGGCTCCCCAAATTATTTTAGAGCAAAAATGTATTAAAGTTTTTTGTAGAAAAAATTTTTTTACGACAATCAACCGTATTAGTTTTCAATTTTTTGCATACTAAACACGGAAAATTGGAAAAATAAATCCCCATCTCTTTCAATAATCTACGATGCATTGGATGCCGGTCTATCTTCGGTGAAAGTGCCTGTTGAAAAACGACTTGTCGCGAAAAGACTTTTTCTTATAGATTTTGTCATGCAAATTTGAAAAGCGCCAGAAATTTGGAGATTGAACGACTACAATTTTAATGAAATTCAAAGAGCGTGTTTGCCCATTATCGTACACTGTATGCAAAACTGACGCAGGTGCGGGCTCAATACATAAATTAAACAATATGCTAATACTTAACGTCAACATAATCCCTTAGTCAGATTTTAAATAAAGCCGATTTGTAAAGGGTAACTGTTTCAATTACATATTTATTCTTTCAAAAATTATATTCGCCAAAGTATTCTTCCTGCACGCCTACAAGAGTTGAGAATTCTACATAATGGCATCACAATAAAATAATTAACACGTTACGCCCTACTGCAGCAAGTGCATTTTGCATATCACTCCCTCGGTGAAAAACCCCTATACAGCATAACTACAAAAGTATATTTAAATCTGTGACTAAATTAACTACTGCTGATATGATCTTTATGCACACGTTTTAACACTTGTATGTATACTTTATGGCATACGACACCCTTTAACAGATGGATTTAATGAGATTTGCGATTTCATTAATTATGATCGAATGTCTTTCTTTAGGCACGTAGTCTATTCAATTCAGGAAAAGAGGCCCACCTCCGCTGTTATTTTTCAATTATTATCAAATCCGCACTTTTTACCAAAGTTAATAACGCCATGGACTATTATGAAAACAACTGCACCTTTTATCCATTAGAATAGGTATAGGTACAAGATTTACATTAAGAAGGGCAAATTCCAAACACTATTTAATTCTTCCGTTGCAGTTTTGATATAAAATCTTCTGCTGTAGGTACTCATATGCACATTTCTAATATTCAGTAGATAAAACGATAATTTGAGCCACCCCTAATCATTCGGCTAGTGAGGATGTAGGTAAAAATATAATGGATAGGTATTACCTAAGAAAATTTCCAGTCGGAACGGTCTCTATAAACTGTCTGTTCCAGATTAACATTTTGAAAATTTGGATTGAATTTAAACAATTAATCCTTTCGGCTATCCAGCACAATCAGTACGATTCCCCACACGGGCCTACACCATAAATTTCTGAAAGGAAACGTATTTGCGTTAACAAAGCAAGGACAAAGCTCTAAATAAATCACACATTTCAAACAGATATAATATGCTGATATTCAAATTCGTGGCTGCACGGTTTTAATAGTTACTTATTTACTTTACAGATTAAAGCAACTTTATTCAACGTTACCCTTACGTATAGGATTAGTAGCAAGTAAAGGGTTGTTATGAATTTCATACCCTAAAATCTTTAAACAAATACTTTAGTAACACGAACATTTCATCGCATTTAATGCAAGAACCCACCCCTTCGGTCATTAATCAGAGATTGTGCACTTTTTTAACGTTATCAGAAAAATTCTTACTTAAACACGTGATCAAAAGGCGTGTGCTCGCATCGTGTCGACGTTTAACATCACAAAAATCCTGCAGCATATCAAAAAGAGCGAAGGGTGGAAAATCATTACAACGTGTGATAATCCTTTGATAATCAAGTGCGCGGCACCAATCGATCATTTTTTATATCGTCAGAAATTGATGTATCATTGCCGTTTTTTAATAAATAAAGGGGATGGTGGCACTATGCAACAAAGATGCAATTTCTAACCGCAGCGCAGTATAAACTTTAAATGAACGGAATAAGTTATATTGAAACGTTCGAATGATAGTAAACAGAGCACAAAATGATTCTTGCGGTTACGAAAATGAAAATTTTAATAGCGGTTTGAACATAAAAATAATATAACTGACACAGTTGATTTACTTCGACTAAAATAAACTCATTGAACCAGAAAGGGAATTTCAAAAACCATTACCTTTTTACCATCTACCTTAAAAACATTGTTCTTGAAGGGTAATTAATATCGCAGTAATTGTGTTTATATTTCTAAATAAATGCAGTGCAGAACAAAAATGTTGATCTATTACCTACCGTTTTTATTAAAAATAACTTTGAAGGGGCCTAAACAGCTATAGGTACACTGGAATTTCCATCGGAAGCACATTTTTGTTGTTACAGTTAGTGTTTTCTAACGTATCGAAAGATAAATTTACATTGTATTCACATTCAAAAGGAGGGAGTAATAAAATTTGAACAAAATTCGTCGAGCATAATTAGGAAAATCAGACCAAATTTAAAATGAATCAGCTCAGAATTCTGCAAAAGTTTGATAATTTGACTTTCTTTCTGTCGCTTTTAATAACTGAGATACCAAGGTGGGTACCAAAATATGAACACACTGTAGAAATGACAGCAGTAAACGCCAAGGCATTGGACTTTTTTTAGATGCACTCCACTGAATCAACACCTAACAACATTTTTCTTTTGTGATCAATTCTAATTACCTTACCTACTCCATCCGACGCTGCGCTTCAGAGGGCAACAATTTACCTAGAAAATTAGATTTGAATTGTTTTCCCTCTGGACCCGTAAAAGTAACACCAAACTACCCACTCTTATACAATTGTAACCGTCAGGTACAAATTAAAGGGTAGTTCGGTAATTATGACTTGAGGAGGGGTGTCAATTTGTACCTATTGATATCTTGCAAAGGCTCTCAGATTCTTTTTGTAATTTCTTCGTCTTGTGATGTTGAAGTACTTTTGGAACTTACCTTTTTGTATTTTAAAGGAGACAAGAAATTACTTCATTTCTATTTCACTGATATTTCATTGATTGTCAATAATTTGTAAACAAACTGAAACTTTGGAAAAACGCTGATTTAGAAATTTATAATCCAATATTTTTGGAGAGTTTATGTAATTCTCATGCAGTTCCCTGTTTGACACAAAAACTCTTTTTATTCCAACAACGCAAGCTGGTTAATAGTACGTCACTGGCGTGTGAAAAACAAAACGCGGGATTATTCCATTTCCCATTTACCAATGGCAAGTTTTATGATGTCGACGATGAAGCCGAAGTACGTTTTCCTTATTGCCACGCTGCTATTTTTCGGCGAAGAATATTGCCACTGAATTTCTTCTAGTTCACTCACTTTTATAATTCACTTAGCGCTTAACTATCGGACGATCTCGCTTTTAAAATAACAAATTCGAGCGCTAATTATAAATATAAATCACAAACGCTACTAATGTAGGCCGCTTTCGGAGAGCGAATGAATAATGCTTTCTTTACATTATACCTATTACCTACCTACTTCATTAGTCATATTTGTCGCGCCATAATTTCGAATCCTTTGCAGATTATGCTAAAATAACTTTATATAATATGCACTGTTAACTAAATTTAACCTTTAAGTTACACTGTCAAATTCAAATTCTACCCTACTGTAGAAGGTAAAAAGAAACTATTTTCATTACACAATAAGAAATAAGTAATTAGCTTTGTATCCAAATAGTTCATCACTTACATCGTGTTGGTAGTAATCACCTAAAATTATTTTTAATTAGGTGGTCCACTGGATTGAACATTGGCGTAGAATCGACTTTATCATTCGCTTTGCTCCTGTAATTAAAAAGAAGAAAAGTGAACAATCACCTTTGCATTCTCCATCGGTGAAGCACACTTTTAAAATAATCTTTCCATGAGGTATCTAGAAATAACCATGAATCAATACGTAGTAAAATTATAAACCAAAATAATGAATAGTAAATAAAGAGATTTCGCCTATGTTGAATATAGAAAAAATATGCTTCCGTATTTTATGTTCATCTCTGTAACATGTTAGAATTTGATTATGAAATTTTGTACCTACTTAAATTCCTAAAGCATATCTCTATACTTATGAAGACTTCAATTTCTGTGTAAAAGGGTTTAAAAAAATACCTAGGTATTATTTTCAACATTGAAGAGTAACAAAAGGAATCGAAATGTCCATTTCGATTCCAAAAATACTAAGGCAAAATGCCTCTTGGATGGTTTCATTAAAAAAAGATTGAATAGGTACTTTTTCAGATGAACATGAAATATAGGAAGCATATTGTCTCTATATTTAATATAAGCAAAATCGCAGGTTTATAATGTACACAAATTCAAAAGAGTACCTATATAATGAGTGATTTACTTTCAAAATGATACAGAAAATGTAGCAAATTAAGGGGACCTCGACTCTCTTACCTCTCATCCGACCTGCAGGTGTTCCTTTCCTTTTGACTCCCCCATTTTTTTAGTTAGTGAGAAACGTGGTCTACGGCAGAACACCCGTATTGCACAGGGTTCGGATGCAATCAGTGTTTAGTTTATGATACACGCTTGAAAGTAATGTTATCGTGGGGTTCGCCGTGATATGATGAATCTCCTCAACCATCGACACAGAGGATCAAGAGGGAGCCTCTTGATCATTACCTATTTGTATGTCGATGGTCGAGGAGATTCGATCCCCAATTAAGAAACTCTTCTCATGTTGTCATATTTCCTATTTTGATAAACTTGGTTATATCCACTAATTACAAATAAGTACCCATTACGTATGCGTAATGTAGGTAATTATTCCCAGTTAAAGACAGGCATTGGACTTTGAATATAAAAAGTGCACAAACGCTAAATGACAACTTCCACATACTTAACTATTAGCATGTTAAATTATTGCTCAATACCCACTTAGACAATTACCAAACGTAAATCTCATGTCTATCACAGGGAAAAGAATTCTGTACAACAACCTAGTATAGAATAAGAGAAGAAGCAATCCTGAGGAAGAGCGATTGCGAGTAGTCAAGGCTGCTACAGAGATACTTTTGCAAGACATTCGTTCAATGAAATATGACGCCTATGAGATCTGAGTTTCTTACGGGATGCTGATGACTCTGGAATTCCTGAATCTGTGAAGCTATTTCTCGAAACCGTCCTACCAAAAAACAAAGGCTGTCGAAGAGTAGGTACAGAGAGAAATGTGTGGGATTTGCTCACTTACTGATCTCTCCAGTCAGGCCAAATTTTTTCGTTCCTTCCGCTTATGCATATACAGCGAGGAGCTGGAAAATTCCAATTCCACTTCCCCAAACTGTGGATTTTTTATACCGAAGTGACCGCCGCCATCTGCTGGACCTACCGAATTCCTGGAGCTACCGTTTTTCCGATTGAGTTAACTTATTAACTCAAGACACCCAAACCCCGCACAGGGATAGGTGGAACATATTACACTGTCGCCATGCGAGAGAAGACCTTTAAAGGACCATCTCTTAGCTTGCCGCTTTTTTGCACAGGGCTATCAAGAAAGAACCTGAGGCTACTCCTGGGCATATCTTCCGGGCAGTGCAAACTAAACAAACACATCCACTCCATGGGCCTGGTTGATCACCATCTTGTAGGTAGAGGTTGTTACACAGACGATGAGACGGCACACCACATAGTTTGTGTGTGTCCCGCTCTAGTCCAACTAAGACGATTCATGTTGGGGGTACCCTGGCTATGGCCATGGCTACGATTAGAGCCGCTTCCCCGTCCAGCCTCCTTAGGTTCATTTCACGTTTGGGATGGCTTGAGTGACTCTGAGGGGTCGGACAACTCTAGTTAAGGAGGTAGTACAAAGGACTCAAATTTGAGGCCTAGCGTGTGGACCCTGTCCACCCTCCTATCGCAATCCAGAATCCATTATAAGGTCTCAGGTTGAGAAAATATGGTGGATGGACACTCCAAGCTTTTGGTTGTGCGAGCTGGAGTAGGATGCGACGTTGTTAGTTTTACGCAATTTGTGGCAAACAAACAGTCTTACCCATCTGCATAAATGACATCTATGTTTTTGGGCACGACTGCAATTTTCAATGGGCCTCTGTTTGCCAAGGCTAGTACGTCTAAGCTGAAATTCTGAATAGCAACTGCTCTTCCCCAAAAATAGAAATTAGTTCAGCTACACAATTTTTGAAGATCAGGAACAAACATACAAAATAAAATTTTACTAGTTTTATTACTGTATTTAATACAAAAAATTATTTTTACGATATTTTACATTGTTCATGCATTAATTACAAAATCTACTTTTAAAAGGCCCAGTCGAGTGTAACTGCAGCTACTTTATACAAAAACGAAATGGCACATAAAAGGAAAAAAAAGGCAAGAGAACACACAACTAAACGGAATAAAAAACTATCATTATACTACCGCGTAATAAGAAAGTCAATAAAATAAATACTCGATTTGCTCAGTAAATAACTTAAACGTACAAGTCTTTGATTCTTAAGTAGTACCTGCCTTTCGCCCCCTCTTTACTCGTGGATACAACGGAAGGGCCTGTTTTATTGTAAGGAGTTTTGTTGCGTTAGTCTATTTAAGATACAGATTAGTGATTGTGCACAAAAATTGTAGATTTGAGTTATAAGTTTTTTTGGACGGATCACTTTACGCCTTATTTTCTATAACTATACTCAGTAATCCCATATGAAAATATAATACTTGTGCAGTTTATAGAGAATAGTAAAAATATGTTAAATTCCCTGACCCTGATTAATTCTGAGATAATTACACCCTCTCTGAATATTGTTAACAGTCTTGATTTAGATTTCTGCAACGCAGCCTAATGCAATTCAAGCAATTACTTTTTTTGGGGATTAAAGCCTACGTTACTTCGTCCCATTCGCCGTTTAGTAGGTACCATGCAAGTGGAATTATTTCTGTTAATAAGTAATCGTCAGCGGCGTCTCAGTCGAACGTGTGCTGCATTAAGGTGTGAACTTCTCGAAAGTTGCCGCCTAAGGTGCCCGGTATCGCTTGTTTCTTGAGCAGTAACGATCGTACTTGTCCTAAGTAATCGTAGCATTTGAGCGATTTCTGATACCTTTCTTCCCGAGATATGTCAACACCGAAACTGCCAACCGGCGACTGTATGCAGCTTTTAATCACAGATCCAAAATGTTTCAAAATTAATTTAAGGGAATTGCACGCCACCGTCATGTACCTGTAACAAATTGAATAGTTAAAATCATAATTGAGCGTCACAGTCCATTGTGTACGCCGTATATGGGGATATGCATATTATAATTAATGGGGCGTCCGCGTCGCTAGACGCTATTATTTATTGTGTTCGATTTTTACACGCGCCTCGTCCTGCATATTCAAATTGCCGATTGTTAAACGACGATCAAATTGCTAACGACGTTCGTTTTGTTTGATTTATGCTCATCGAAAATGGAACTCTCTTTTGTATTCTTTGTACTGTACAAGAAAACGAATATTAAAATCAACTACTGCTATTACCACTAATTGCGTAGTCAATTTCAAAACACGTCTCTTATAAATCACACAAAAATCAAAGACGCGCAAATGATAATATAAAAATTAGGTACCTACTACCGCAAGAATCAGGCAAAAATCGCTTTGGGCCATCGAGAACTACGCCCTTTATGATTATAACAGCAGCGTAAATGTTAGCGACGTTAATTAAATTGGCAATAAGCGTTAAACAATAAATCGAGTAGTATGAATTTAAAATTGACGTTAAATCGAAATTTGCATGGTCATCAGCGCATTAGAAATTCATTGACATAAAAAAGGCACGCGTTGACACAGGGTCCGGTGTCAAATCGAACCGTTCGCAATTCGACACGAGTAACCCTTTTTTTTATTGCCGCGGCCGGCTGTGAGAAAAATTTCACGTTGCTCCCGTGCAAACAAATTTTGAAAAAATTTTATTCAAATCGAAGCGGTGTTTGCATAATATTGTCTGCCGATTGAGTCCCGTATTTTAAATCTGAAGAGGTCTCCATGTCAAACATGTTTTATAAGTGTTTTGATGTGAGCAACTCGACACTTACGTCTTTCGTCATTGTTGTGCGGCGTCGATGAGTTTGTCACTTTATAATGGGACGATAAAAAAGCGTATGCTAACGAGAGGGCCTGAGGGTTTTTGATATACGCAGCTGCTTCGAGCGTAAATCCTATTGTACAAAACGGGCGAGATAATTACCTTCGAATTTGGGAAATCGGACGCGAAAATTTAACATTTCCTTGTACGCACCCGGTAGTTATCCGGCGAAGATCGGCGTGACCGATAATTAAATGTCGCACGTCAAACTGCCATTACCTTGCAACCCTCTACATGGGAAATTTACTCAAGCTTGTAAACATGGAAGTACTTTGATAATATTAAATACTTAGGCTTTAGATGCGGTTTTTCAGGAACAACCGCCCTCAGTAGTTCGTGTTTTAATAATTACACACATTTTCAGTTCCTGAGAGATGTCAGGTGGTTAATAAGCTCAAACAATTACTGACGGATACCAATCATTAGTGCAACAAGCAACTGCTAATATACGTAAAACGCTTTTTAGGGGAGTATAAAGAGGCAATAAGAAGCAGCCTCATTAAAAGCTGAGCAGCACAAATTTGAATTGCATCTCAAAACAGTCACTTTAGAGCCGAGTACTTTAATTTCCTAGTTAAGTAGGGTCTGAAGTTACCCTTTTTGTGACTAAAGAAACGTATTTGCAATTTTTTTTAAATCTTTGAAAATAACAAGAGATATCACCAAAAAACTGAAAATGTTTATACATATTTCGTTTTCATTTTCCCTAGCGTAAACGTTCGGTTCCCATTAGCCCCTTCTATGGACCTTTTCTTCGGAGAATCTGAACCTGTTAAATTAAAATACCCATAACACGCTAGATGCAGAAACTACAGATTACTACTTTCATATTTCTTATATGGACGCCATATCGGATGTTTACGGAATTAGATAAAAGACAAAACAAGAAAACTAATGACGTATCAGACTCTATACATTTAAATAAATTTACAAGAAAAATTTCAAAATTATTTACTAATTACATTCATTTCTCAACAAAACATCCACGGGTAACTAGATCTTGCTGAATCCACATGGATATGACGGCGATGTATTCAAATTAACTTTTTGTTCTTTATCTCAGTTTGTGACATTCAATGCGATATTTTTCAAATGTATATTAGTGCCAAATTTAAAACTGACCTGGATAAAATAGAATCACATAGGCCCACACTAATGAACAAATTGATCCAAGCGGGAAGGATGAGAGATTGGGAGATCCACCTCATCTCAGTTGAAGCCCTTTTTTCATTAGGCTGGGCGAAGTGACCCCCCCTCACCTTCTAAAATTTTTAACATGCTGATGCAATAAAGGCTACAACATCTTTCCCTATGAATGGTTTCAACGACTAGTGTATCTATAGTGATTGTGCACTCTTAAAAAAAGGATCCAATTACTGATCATAAAACTTACAACTCTTGCTCTATATAATCTCTACTTTCAGAGATCTCTAGCTTGACATAGGAGAAAACTCACCCTGTATGTGAGCTGATATCGTATTCAATAAAATTGACCCAAAACCATACGTTTGCAATATAGACAGCACAATTGAGGCATTCTAGTTGGTACCCTTCTTGGTTCTTAAGATTAGGTTGTAGCTTTAAATTAAAAGGAGTGTATCTTTGTATTCACGCATAAAACGTGAAGATAGGGGCACAAATCTGCACAATTCAACAATCTGAAACCTTTCCCAGATTAGAAATATGTACTTACCTTCATTAGGTAGATAAACCAACTAAATGTTAAAAGAAATGACGCGTTAAAATATTAAAACACAACGCGCCTGTTTGTTACCCCATGTTAAACGCAAATACCTGCAAAACGGACATAAATTTACTGCTACGTAGGCAACTCTGCATGCACTACAATACAGACTGCGTCTATAACATGTTTCGCTTCTAGAGCATCTTCTATGCAATGAGTACAGGCAGTCGTGGTCACTTTCCGATACTTTTTCCAACATCATCACAAAAGCTCATTATGTTAAACGCCAAGGTCCAATTGCATGAAAGAAAATTAGCTGGTGTTGGCTGCACAGTGATCTCATTGGATAGTATCAAAGCCAACCACGTTTCTTAACACCAAAACCAGGATTAAACCCGAAACAAATAGCTATTGAAATAGTATTGGAGTAAAGGTTAGTGCCGTTCTGTATAATGAATGCAGCAACAATACCTACAAAACACCGCAGACGGCAAATACCTTTTCCATATAATGGTACACCTTGTATATTTTTATAGTTTTGCGTAGCCCTGTATTTCCGGATTACAAATTACTTAATTTTGTATGCGCAAAGGAATTTTTTTCATCTTATGCATGTACAAAATGTAACAATCAGAAGTTACTTACTAACAACTTTAGTAAAACTGATTTTGACTTTACAATAGAACATTATTTGAATGAAAGTATGTAGAGAAAAAATAGAATAAAATGTTTCGCACAAAAAAAGAACATTAAAACATTATTAAAGGTCAAATGCCCCATAAAGCTTAACCATGAAACATTTTCTAAATATTACCGAGTATGGTCCACTCGGCCAGAAGAGCGGACAAGCAATTAGGTACTCAAAACTAAAAACCAGCTCTTCATAAGACTCATAATATACCATGATGTAGAAAATGGGTGAAAGTCACCTATTATGCGCCAACGCAATGTATTTCCATTTGTTTGATTTAGACAAAATTCAACCGCTTCTGTTATTTGACACACATCGGCCTAATGATGTTAATACCCCTAACCACATTGTGGATAATAGTTGATATACAGTATGTTTCAAATTAAGTCCCATTATGTCTGAAGCAATTAAATATCCCTCTCAGCACTATTGTGTGCACCACTGCACTCAGGAAACGGCCAGCTTGGGCTTCGCCTCGCCTGGCTATATCTTCCTTCCACCTGGAAAACATCCACTTTCCAATCTTGGTACTATTTTTGGGTACTCCCTTTATTTTGAATACAATCAGTTACTACAATTTTAGTTGGTACTTTTAATTTGAAACTTTCTCTTTAGTTCCGAAAATGAATGAAAATATTCTTCTTTCTCAAAGTCTACTTAGGCAATTTTACTAAAATCTTCATAGGAACTGGTCTTATCCTAACCGAAAATTCTGTGAATTTCAGAAATTTTGCAAACTTCTTTAGAAAGCTTTTGTGAAATAATATTCTTAGGAGGAATATTGCTAGAAATCTCCTTAAAACACAATCTTATTTAAACTTTACCAGATTTAGAAATAGAATTCATTTTATAAATCTTGAAATCTGATCTGCAAAGTTGAGTCTGCAGAACAAGCATTACTTTTACATTTTTGTAGGAAAATTCATCATATACAAGGTAACTAAGGTAACACTTTTCCTTATAGAAATCTAAAACGCAGATTGTTTGGTTTTGTTTATATGCAACATACTGTATTTCATTATGGAATGGTACATTTGAAACAAATACTGTAATTAGATAGAAAACGACAGTTATTTCAAATAATACTAGGAGCGGCACTCCATGTGTTGTGTTATTAGGATGTCTTGCGATATGTTTTTTTTAAATTTGTTGAGCTAATACCTTTTTTGCTGTTAGTGGACACAAAAGACAAGACAAAAAAAAATTACACAAAATCAAACACAAATGAAGACACAAACACGAATTTTTCCCTGAAACTACTTACATTTCGAATTTGCTCTGCATCAGCTCCTGAATTTTAGGTAACAATAGCACACATAAATCCAAGTTCCATGACGAACTAAAAAATTATACATTAAATAAAAGGCTGGAAGGGTTCAAAACTAACTTACTACTTATTATTAAAAACGCTTAAAACATCAACAATAACAGAAAGATCATTTAACGAGATGGCAGTTTCGATGGCGGATTTAACATCCTTCGTTTTGTGCTGTGCAATAACTATTTTTAAATTTCGTTGTCTAGCAACTAAAACCGCCATCATCGGCTCGTGCCCTCGCATTACAACACCCAGCACTTCCGCCTCGGACATGTCGGGTAGTTGCTTGTCAAAACCACAACGATGATGGTTTTTCTATGAGGCAAAATGTGTAATTAAATTTCACAAAATTCCAATTACTTACAGGTAAAAAATCGTCCAAGTCTAGACCGACCGGTTTATCGACAGCAGCCGGTATGTAGTCATCCGAGAGCGATCCTTCAGGTGACACTTTTGTACTGTTGTTATTGTTAACATAAATATCGACAGGTTGCGACTTAACAGGTACTGATTTTTCTAACTGCTTGGCAGTTGTTGGTATTCGGGATACGTTTGGAACACTAGAGTTGCGTGTGGGCTTCGAGAAGGAATTCTTGCGTGATATGTTGCGTGATGTCACCACCGAGCTCTTGTTTAGCGTCACCTCCGACATACTGTGCTTGATATTATTTTTTGGTAACTTTTCCGGAACGTCCTTGCAACTGCTTTGCCTTTGCAAGTTAAACTTTTGATAAAGCTGTTGTTTTACACTGTTTATTTTCGGTAGCACAATTTCAGGATCGGACCGGGGACTAGCAAAGATTTGGTCCAAGTTTGATTTCGATCTGGAGTATGGTGTCGAGTTGAATAGTGGTAAGGAAGAGTTGTGATTGCAATTAACTGTGTCATCGAGTGAAAGTGCTTCTAAGCTTTCAGAACCGATTTCTGCTAATATTTGGGGTTCGGTTGGATCTAAACGTGCACAATTAGTTTTAGCTAGCTGTGAATTGTAAGTACCTAAATTTTCTAGCGTTGGCTCATCTGGCGGTTCTAATTCTTCTGGTGGAGGTGGAGTTCTATTTACTAATTGAAATGGTTACACTTCGTAGGGTATTCAACTACAATATACTTACATGCCTGTCGCGCTTTAAAAATGTCATTGTAGTCTTTCAAATTCGTTATGTCAGCAGATGACTCTTCTTCGGGGTCAGTACCCGATGTGCTTTCCTCAATTGTTTTCACGTCAAGCGTGGCCTTAGTCCTTACTAGCGGTCTTTCGGCTTTAGAAAAACTCTTACGTATACTTTGGTTATGGGTAAATGGACTTGGACACTCATCTAACAGACCGCCGAAGGGCTGAACCTTCTTCAGATCTACCACGTACACTGTGACTGTAGTTAAATGGAATGAAGCGCCAACCTGTAAAAATTGAACAAATTATTAATAAAGATAAAGTAACACTAAGTACTTATTATAGTTCATAGAAGCAATTGTATGGCACATCTCCAATTACACTCAAAAAATACACTTTTAGCTGAATAGAGTGATTAAACCAGTGGTAAATTACTGGGCCATTTTTGGTCTTTTGATGTACATGCCCAAGCAAAAGCGGCAGAGGTTCTTGAACGACTCTCACCATTTTCCTACGATTGTAGTTACCTATCCTGAAGTTTGTGCACCAGAACGTAATTAAATGATCAATGAACTCGCAAATCTCTTGCTTTTTTTCATAAACCAAGAGTTCATAGTTCAATTTGAGCTACCTACCAAGAAGATCTACAGAATCTGGGCTCCACAATGTTCTTGGGAGGCGAAGATCAAAGCACCTTAATTAGAATACCCGCAGTGTATTGTTAGTTCGTAGATTTTAAGAGTGAATTTGACAAGCATTAAATATTGTGCTATGCCAACAAGTCTTGGGCGAATTCAGTACTGGGTTCCAAACAAAACCAAACGGTTGGGTATAAGGCTCAATGCTAAACAGGTTCTCATGTATCGGATGAACTAACTAGATCGTTTTATGACCACTAAAAATCACCATGTTAGTAATCCAAACTTAACGATGGCCCTCAGATGTCGCCGAGTCCACATCATGTGGCCCTGTCCCTAATGCCCTAATTTTCCTGGCGTGATGATGGCGAGATATTCAGTTTACGCACTTATACTTTGGAAATTGTTCTAACTTCAATTATACAGTGTGTTTTTTTAAGATGGGCCACCCGACAATGTAAAGGCGTTGAGTTATTTAAAGTCGGAAAGATTATCGAGTCCTTCTTGTCTGAATGGTTCTGAACCCCCGCCAATTAACATATTTTTTTTGGAAATCGTCATCGACTTTTTCTCCTGAGGAGTAACCCATATTCCCCAGACCCACCTGTGCTATTTCTCTGCAGTAAGGAGAAGGGCATCTCATAATTCTCATAATTTTATCCCTCATCAGGCGTTCCCCAGGGAACACTTCTTGGTCCTTTTCTGTTTCTCTTATACATAAATGATTTACCGCGAGTGATAAAAAACTCCAAAGCACTACTATTTGCGGACGACCTAAAACTTTTTAATAAAGTCCAATCCCCAAGTGACTGTATAAATATTCAAGAGGACATCAACTCAGTAATTAAGTGGTGTATCAAAAATAAACTAAAACTAAATATCAATAAGTGTAAAGTCCTTACTTTTACTAGATCGAAAAATCCCTTACTTTTTGACTATAAGATGAATGGAAAGGTCTTGCTACGAGTCACCTCCGTTAAGGACCTGGGCGTGTTTTTCAATAACAACCTTAACTTCAACTTACACATTGAATACCTAACAAATGAGTGTTACAAACTTCTTGGTTTCGTTATCAGAAATACACTCAATTTCACGAATATACAGACAATGCTAACCTTATATAATGCGTTTATTAGATCCAAGCTTGAGTATGCTGCATGTATCTGGTCTCCTCAAACTCTCAAATACTCAGACATGATCGAAAAAGTGCAGAAAAAGTTCATCCGAGTAATGTTTTTTAGGTCAACCCAAAATTATCCACATTTGATCTCTTACGGTACCCAGCTTAATTACTTAAATAGTACTTTCGGCTTAGATATAACGAGGTTAGAAACCCGACGGTACATTGCCTCCACAATTTTTGTCTTCAAAATTTTACACAACTTGTTATACTCTTCCGAATTACTTCAAGAAATTAAGCTTAAGGTACCATTTGTTAAGCTGCGGCAAAATAATACTATTTTTGTAGTTAACAACACAACTTCCCCACTTATTATTATTATTATTATTAAGATCTTGATCACTTTAAATAAGTTATCCTCAGTTAATGATATCGACTTTTTTCACGATCCCCTAAATTCAATAATAAATAAAATTAGATCTTAAGCCCTAATATTTGTTCAGAGCCCCAGTGCCATGTAATTGGAATTTTTATTCTGTATGGTTTCTGGTTAAATAAATAAATAAATAAATAAATAAATTCTTGACCAACAACTGCCATACTAATCTTAAAGGCTAAATGGTTTGTGGAAGAAAGCGGTTACCTACAGGTCTGGGGGGTATAGAATACCGATATTTCCAGGACACTCCACCATATGATTTTGAACACCTGCTACTTGTAACATATTTTTTCGAAAATGGTCATCAACTCATTCATGGCTGGGGGGTATTCCTTACCCCCCAGTGCTACGTTCTCTGCGATAAGGAGAAGCGGAAGGAGAAGAGTAGCAAATTGCTAACGCTCCGCCCACTATAAAATAAAGGCAATAAAATAAAATAAAAATAAATAAATAATCCTAATGCCGAACTTAAAGCCTAAATGGTTTGCTTAAAAAGAGTTACAGGAGGGGAAGGGGAGAGAATATTGTTCAAGTGCCATTTCCAGGACACCCCACCATAAAAGTACTGAGAGTTATATAGGGAAAGGGTTATTGAGTCCTTTGCTGATGGGTTTTGAGCCATTTTTAACATATTTTTTCAGAAATGGTTATCGACTCCTCTGCTGTATGGAATACCCCCCAGCACACACAACTGTTTGTACTGCCATTTCCAGGACACTCCGTCATAAAAGCGCACGTTGATGATGTTTTCATTTCTAAAAACAATTTGAATCATATCAACCTCAAACACTCGCTCAAACATTATTTGCGTAACCTCTTTACATTGATGATATGGGTCGAGAATGAGGTCGAGAAGGACACTTTATCTGCGCCGCGTCACATTTCCACCGTGAAAACTAAACCTATCATTGTAGAATTTTTTCCCCTTGCTCTTATACCACTGATACTTTTTCAAAATTGAGCTTGTAATTCTTTTTATTTACAGTTGATCTTATAGTTCAGTCAAAATACAAATTACACTACACGTACCCAAAGTGTAGATGGAGTTATGATTTCAAACAAAATGTGAAAACTGCCTGTTTAGGAAAGTGATGCTAAATATTTCATCTGGTATTTCAATAGGATTTCTGTGTTTATTTTGTTTGCAGATTTTAAGCAAATGTCTTCAATGGAGACTACAGTTGTCGAGACAGTTGTTAATACTTACCGAAATGTAAGTACATACATGATTTTGTCCTCAATTTCTTCTCGTCATTTGGACAGTAACTACCATTCGCAGTATTCACATAATCCATAATTTTCATATACCATAAATTATATGACATGCAATTGATATGCAAACAATAGCTTTATAATGATAGGTGACCAACTTCCATTGTCATGTCTGTGTCCAGCCTAATTTTTCGGTATTCTAGACAGAAAGATTGAATCATCGCGTCTTTAAGAATAAAATGACACAAGGTTCCAACGAACTTATTATAACAATAAAACTTTGTAGGTTTGTTGACAACTGTAATTTGTTTTTAATTTGGATGGGAAAGGATAAGTGCCAATTCATTGCACTAGTAAGCAAACTAACTACATTATGTTGTGTTTCTAAACGTTGGCGATGCTAGATAAAGCCACAATGGCTTTAATATAATGATTCTTTGAATGATTACAAAAAGACATTGCTATTTATATTATTGGGAAATATGGTGATAAAAACGACCAAAATGGCTTCCAATGGAGTAGGGTTCAGTATCTTTTTAAAACAGATTATTCATTTTTTTTAAATCAGAAAGAAATTTTTTGAGAAATATACTGGGCGTTCCATTAAAAATTTACCAAATTTGCACGTTTTACTATTATTATTATTATCTGCTGCTCAATAGAGGGCGCTTTTAAGTATACCTAAATGTGTTTCCCATAAAATGCATAAGGTTAGCAATCTGTTGTATGTGTAGATCTGTGCCGATACAGTATGCGGGAAGTATGCGTGTGTGAACGGCTCCATAAAACGCAATATTGCAGATGTATCCGAGATACCGGTATCCGGGAGACTGTATCTCCTTGTCAAAGCGGTGTAAAGGCAAAGTGAAAAACTTAGGAGTTGGGAGGGGGTTGGAGTGGATTACCATTCATGATAGGAGGGATCCTGCTTGGTTTCATCTCTCTATATCAAAAATGATGTTTTATTTGAAATCAAGCTAAGCGAAAGTTGATACCTACCGAGATACCTACCTTAAAGGGAAAGTTGATAAGTTAAGTGTTGAGAAGGATTACTTTTTATGATCGTTATAACGGGTTATGGTGGAGTAAGATTAAGGGATCTTATTTGGTTTTATGCTCGGTTTTATGTAAATTCAAAAACGAATTTTTATTAAGGAACTTCCAGAGCAAATGTTTATATCTTACATGTAAAGTTGGTAAATAAGGGGTTCAGAAAGATTACGTTTTATGATCGTTATTATGGATTAAGATTAAAGGATCGTAGTTAGCTTTAGCTTATTTCTTAATTTTTTTAGAGATGAATTGCTCCAATTTCGTTTATTGTTCGACTTTGACAAACAACAAAAGTATCTACTTTAAGTAAATCCCGAGGTAAATACTTATTGTTGTTTTTTATAATATACTACACTCGAGACTACGCCCTTATCTCTTAATATTTTATGACATGGTTTGCATATTTTGGCATACTTATAGCTTCAGACTAAACATGGAAATCCGAGTGCAAATCATATCATATATTTATTGTTTGTCACAAAATACATTCCATATACTTGTATAAGAACAGAACGAATATATTGCTAGAAAGCTCAGTAGTTTTGGAATCACGGGTTTATGTAAGTAAGAGAAGTAAATCTGTTGATTAAGCATTGTCAAACATCAATAAGTATTAATACAGAAAATCCAATGAGGATTCAAAAATTTTAGTTAATTTAGTTGCTTTCTGACAGTGACTGCAGATTTTGCGTATGAGGAATGTAATCAGAGGAGAAGAATGTATGTCGAGTGAAAAATCAAAAGTCAACACACAATCTGCAACAGAAACGCTTGTTAGCAATACAGAATTAGATAGTGGAACTAGCTAGGTAGGAGTAGTAGTTTTATTAGTGATAATAAAAGATGTCGAATACTTACCTACATAAATACAAATACAAACATACATAATAAAAACCGAGATAAAAACAAATAACAGAAAATATCACAGACAGCAAGCATATACTTGCTACACCTGATGAAAATGAGGATGAAAACTATTAACAGCTCATCAAACGGCCAAAATGTACTTAATGAATCTGAAAACACAAAAAAGAGGATACTTAGTTGCATTAAAAAAGTGCAATTTCATGTAGGATTTGTAGAGCAATTGTACTTCAATGATCCAGTATCTGGAATTGTCTTTTGTGTATGCAATTGGTACATTTGCGCCATCTCTTTGGTAATCCCTATACTATTACTAAGTATTTTCTTGTAATAGTTGAACCAGTTCCAATGAGATTTCGCCACGTACGTATCTATCTTCAGAAGAACATTTTAATTTATGCACTTAATAGCCACGTACGACTCAATTTTCCTTAAAGGGCAGTTGAAAATGTGCAATTTTATGTAGGATTTGTAGAGCAATTGTACTTCAATGATCCAGTTTCTGGAATTGTCTTTTGTGTATTCAATTGGTTCATTTGCGCCATCTCTGGTAATCCCTATAATATTCCTAATTATTTTCTTGTAATAGTTGAACCAGTTCCAATGAGATGTCGCGACGTACGTAACTACGTTCAGAAGCACATTTTAATTTATGCACTTAATAGTCACAAAAATTTTCTTATAGAATGTGGCCTGTAGAATCCATAATTTCAAACAGTTCCAAGATTGCGCTACTAGTTCAAAAGTTACAGCCCTTTGAATTTTCTTTCGAAATTGGTTTCTAGTCTATAACTTTGTTAGTGTCTATAACTTTGTTAGTGTTTTCCCGAGAAATTTTGGTGCAGTCGATTTTTGGTAAAAAAGGAAGGTTTATACACTGCCTTTTTTTGAGGCCCGAAAAAGAAATTGTCTCAGATCAACTCGGAAACAAAATTTTCTTATAGAATGTGGCCTGTAGAATCCATAATTTCAAACAGATCCGAGATTGGGCCATTAGTTCAAAAGTTACAGCCCTTTGAATTTTCTTTCGAAATTGGTTCTAGTCTATAACTTTTGATTGAGAAGTCTGATCGAAAAGGTACGAATTGTTTTGGATTCTACGCACTAAAATTAATAACAAAAAGTGTTTTCCCGAGAAATTTTGATGCAGTCGATTTTTGGTAAAAAAGGAAGGTTATACACTGCCTTTTTTTGAGGCTCGAAAAAAAAATTGTGTCAGATCGACCCGGAAAAAAATTTTTCTTATAGAATGTGCCCTGTAGAATCCATAATTTCAAACAGATCCAAGATTGGGCTACTAGTTCAAAAGTTACAGCCCTTTGAATTTTCTTTCGAAATTGGTTTCTAGTCCCATAACTTTTGATTGAGAAGTCTGAGTTTTCCCGAGAAATTTTGGTGCAGTCGATTTTTGGTAAAAAAGGAAGCCTGCTTTTTTTTGAGGCCCGAAAACAAAATTGTCTCAGATCGCCAGGAAACAAAAAAAGATAAAAAACTGTTAATCATGAATTTACTTTTTAACATTTTTGAATGTCAACCACCTCTTGGCCCCCACAATCATACGATTTTTTAAAAAGTGGAGATGGTGTCTGCTTCCCATTCGAGGGATTTTTATGAGTGACATCACAAAGTAAGTAGAACACGAAATACACTAGCATCAGCCAATCGATACCACAATGACTTTTACACCCACAAAAAAAATCAAGCAAAAATTAACAAAGTCGTATTTCCCAAAAAATTTTAGATGACAGATTTCTCCTTGGTTTCTCTAATTTCAATTATTTTGTCTCACTTTCAAGGAGCAAAAATTTACCTACACAAAGATCTAAAAATTGTATTAGGAGGTTAAGGTAAAACATCAAGGAACGTTTATAATTAAAACGATCTCGCTAATTATTTTCCTGTCGTTTTGCAATATCCAAGATGAATAATGGACTGTAGTAGTAATGACTTATCGAAACCTCTAATCTACAATAAATTCAAGAGCGTTGAGTTCCTTAATTAGCAATTCAGTTACTTTAATTTGAATTACTAATACAGTTCTTACCAATTAAGCACCTAATGATCTTGACTTATATGCTACATACACATTAGTGTAAACATTTTGTTTTTAGATTATCTAAAATTGTACAAATTTAAATTGTTTGCACTTTCATTTGCGTAATTATGTATCGAATAGGTAAGACAATTGATGGGAACAAATTTCTCGCGTGAGTAATTGATCGTGCAGTTTCCTGTTGGGAGTCTGTGAGATGTGCTGTAGTAACAATGCAGATTTTGCCGCTCTAATAAGAAAATATGGGAGTGACAAATTCTGCTTTGGTCTAATTATATACAAATCCCTATTAACTCGCTTGTTAAGAAACTCGGCCCTGGATTGGTTTGAGGTCATTGGCACTGAAATTGATTTTTATAGCAAAAGCCCAAATTAATTTATAGGTACTGCAAAGCTAACAATAAAAGTTTATCCATTTTATTGATATTTTATGATTAATTGCTACATGTGAGGAATTTCAGTAGGCGAATTTTTTACTGAAAAATCTACAGCCACCCACATCTGACAAACGGGAAATAAATAGAATATCTTCATTTTGAATGCATAAATTACACGCTTGCGAATAATTAGCATATAAAGTGCGAGTGTTATGAAATAATGAGAACGGACGACACTTCGGTTATATAAGAATGGTGCCAGTTACCAAATTATTGATTCATATACTTACTAATTGATGTTGAGCAGTCGAAATATCACAAATCCTTCCCCAATTCACGGGTACAGAATCATACAGCCTATTGGGCTCCCACCCGATTACTTTAAGATAGTCTCTGACCGCAGTAAACAAACATTCGCCGTCCGGATTGAACCACAAGCACCTAACCGACCCGACATCTCGTTCCGTAGACACCACATTGAAGTTCTCCAAATCGAAAAAATGAACCGACCTATCCGTACTACCGCTAGCTAGTAGAAACTCGTGCGGATGAAACTCCACGCACGTCACCGAGTTCATATGTTCCGTAAATTCCTTTAAAACGCGTCCGACCCTCAGATCCCAAATTTTTATTCGAGAATCCTCACCGCCGGACGCGATCCACTGCCCGTCGGGACTAAATTTAAGACTATTCACTGTCGTTGTATGACCAGGAAATGTACATATACACCCCTTCTTCCGGCTATCCCACAATTTGATTGTACTATCCGATCCGCCCGACACTAGAAAATCACCGTACGGATGAAAGTCGACGCATTTAATGCTGTCGCGATGTCCGGTCAGCGTGCGGACCAGCTTTGCCGCCTCCAAGTCCCACACTTTGAGAGCACCGGCACGTGAGCCCGCACATACTAGCTCTTCAACGTGGTTAAATTGCACACACTCAATTGGGGTCGTATGCCCGCTGAGGCTCATGAAACAGCTTTGCTTGCCGATAGCCCATAAGTTCACCTTCTTATCATCTCCACCCGTAACCATAACCCGGCCCGATTTGTGCCCCAATGCCAGGCAGTTGACGTTCGCATTGTGGGCCACAAACTCCTCTAAAATGAAAGCATGTAAAATCTTAAACACAGACAACTTTACTTACGCAGCTTCCAAGAACGTTTGCAGAGAGATGCCATTATCCAAAAACCTCTTAGAATTGGTCATTTATTTTAATTTAATAAAAAGCTTCATTTTTTCTTTTTCTGTACACAAATAGAACAGTCCGTAATGGTTTTTTTCTATTTTTGGAGATCTAAGAACTTGAAGGTTATCGTTTTAACAGTTCTCATTGCTTTGAAATTACTCCCCGAAGATACTTTCGCCTTTTACGGATTTTTACTCGCAGGTACGTTCAGGTGTTTAACAATAAGAATTGTTATTAATAACAGACATAAAGTTCATAGTTGCTTCTTGAGCAACATTTGTACGAGTTAATTTTAAGGTCGTTTGATGACACTTGTGACGTTTCGAAGTGGCATTATTCATACAACTGTCACGGCGTTACTTATACTAAAAAGCGTTACTTATGCCAAAAGCATTACTTATACCAACAAGCCTTACTTATACCAAAAAGCGTTTCTCCATTACACGCGATTTATATTTTACACACAAATGCAGTGCGTCCTTGGCAATTCTGCAGACTGCAACACAGACATAAGTTTACAAGACGTTGAAATTACGTCATACGTTGAATTTGGTGACGTTTTTGTCTCAACCAAATTTCACTTCCCGTTTCTCATACGTTATGTAAGATTTATTATTTATATAATTCACGTCTTTTCAATACTGTTCACCTTGAATGAAACGTCTTATATATCTTAGAATAACGTATTTCGTTTCGTTTCGTTATTAACACAACCTTAATTAAATTAGTATAATTAGTTACTATGCAAATAGTGAAGTAAGCGTAAAATAAAGTTTTAAAACCTCTCACAATTGCCAAGAATCAAAAGCTTTCTTACTAGTTCTATTTTAAAAGTATGATAAATATCAAAAATCAAAATCCGTACGAAAAATCTGTACTATATCTAAAATATCCAAATATCCCAAATTTTCAAAGCAATTCTATAAAATCGTAATTTTTATAAAATATTTTGACCGTTTGTACGACAACTCAGTTTCAGTTCATCGAACTCAGGAAATTTCCTTGAAACGTTAAAACTGTGAAAAGACTAGCTAAATAACAAAATAAATCCGTAGAGCAGAGTTTGTATTTCAAAATGTAAAATTTATATGTTAACACTTACAGCTCACAAAATAGAAAACGTCTAATTTTTACGGCGAACGAATGCACGATGAGGTAAAAGTAAAACTGCAACCTGCTATATTGTATCCCTTCCCCTACTGCGGTAATATGAATAAATTGTGACGTATATTGGCGGTAGTTATGAAGTGTCCTTTTGTTACACGCGGGCCTGATCTCTATTATTACAAATCGATTTTATCAGCTAGTTTACATTATCTGTCCACACTGTTTCGTAACCGTCTATATTCAAAGGCATCGCAATGAAACGCACATTAATAATTATTCTGATTTAAAGACAACCCAGAAAAATCGCACATTAATGATTTAAGAATAAAAAAAATCGCATAATATGGCCCTTTTCAACGGCATACTGAAGACGCACTCTTCTTCGCGACTTTATACTGCAAGACAAAACCGATGAATGCACACTTTCCATGTACTTTCGCGTTGATTGACCATTACCCTAGCCCAAAAACTCTATATGAATCTATACGGAGCAGTGGAACTACTTGTGACCGTTGAACTGGCAAAAGTAAAACAAAAACACCAATAAAATTGGTATTTTTGTTTTACTTTTGCATGAACCTATAAAATTCGTATGATAGAAAATCTCCACTAATGTTCTACTTTAAATATTTCAGATATTTGCACGATAATTTACTGCTGCTGTTGCCATTCGATTTAAAAAAGGGGCAGGTTCTGACAGGAAATAAATTTGTTTCAAAACAATAATAGTTCCCATTTCCTATACCTACCGTTTTAAGTATACTATAAAAGTTATCGATTTAACTGCAATAAAATGTTTGCAAGCTGTCTTTGGTTCTTCTTTAAATATTACACAATATATTTATAATGGTGGGGACGTGGGGTAGCCAGTAGAGGAATATACGTACAAGTTGTTTGAGATAAAAAATGTCTACATCTGATATCCTCACATCATATAATCGTCAATCATCACCAAACACCTCAGCTGTGGAACTCCTATTCATAAACCTGTTCTCATGCGCATTAGTTTTTCATCAAATATCGATACAGCTCCTTCATGCTCACATAGACATGGACACACAGAATAAACGAACGTACTGTATGTAGGTTACGGTGGGGAATAGATCAAATGTGCTATAATCACGTAGAAAAACACCAGTAGCTTTAGCCACAGACAAGTTGACAATTAAAAAATAACCTAATCGTCCTAATCGGGTATTATAACCTTAGATTATAACTCCGTCAGGTTAAATAACTAACGTGGATTTTATTTAAACCTGTGGCTCATTAAATACACAGCTTAATTGAACTGCAATCATTAGAAGAGTCTCATGACTTCAAATTATAGTAAAAGGTTTAAAGGTTGTTGATAAGGAATTTTTATAACTGTATATAAAGATAGGTTTGTGAAACACACATCACAACTCGCAAGTCTTCCACAATGGATTTATTCAGAAAGGTTACTTCAATTGTGCTAACTCCGGAATGTTACGATGAGTACTTTGTGGAATTTAATTTCTTCAGTGGCAAGTATCCATCGCTCATTTTTTATACAGCTAATGGTTAATTTGCAGCACCCTGCTTTAAAACGACGCTAAGTAAATGTCTGGGTGTTTTGCTAATATTAGGTGCAGTCTTAGTAAAAGTTCCACAAATAATCAAAATCTTCAAAAGTAAGAGTGCCGTTGGAATCAGCATCTCCAGTGTAACACTTGATCTAGTTGCAATCACCATATTTCTATCATACAGTTTCGTAAAAGGATTCCCGTTCACTTCGTACGGAGATGCCTTATTTCTAGCGATACAGACATTAATCGTCGGAGTGTTGGTGTTATACTACAGCGGCAGCCCATCTAACGCGACCATATACACTATAGGCTATCTAATTACATGTTTCATAATGATGAGCGGCATTACGCCCATTGGAATTTTGTGGACATTACAAGGGTTCAACATTCCAATTTTGTTAACTGGGAAATTAACGCAAGCGTACACCAATTACAAGAATGGGACAACCGGACAGTTGTCTGCTGTTACATTAATTATGTTATTCGGTGGTTCGTTAGCTAGGATTTTCACATCAATTCAAGAGACTGGTGACTTTATGATAATTCTCACATATTTAGTGTCATCTAGTGCTAACTTTGTTCTCGTGTTCCAGTTATGGTATTATTGGGACGTTGAATTGTCCAAGAAAAAGGAGAAATAAATGTTTTTAATGTTAACATTTATAACAAATTCTAATATATGGTTTTGCATATATTTTAAATTTTTTATGAGCAGAGATCATAAATTGTAATAGGTAGTCACCTTTAGCACTGTATTTTATTTTTATGATACTAAGTACATTCCTAGTTGAATTTATGACTCCTTCAAGTACCTTATATAAATTTTATTGCTGTGTAACTACAAGCATCCCATGAAAACGTTATGGTAACACCTAGCATATTGTGATTTAAAAGAATGTTTTAAATTTGTTCCACAAAGAATTTATTTTATTATTTGTATAATTGGCTTATATTGCAACTTCACATTTATTTGTATGTGGAACAGAGCTATGGACTAAAAAAAATAACAGCTCAGGATTTTAGTTTGGAGCCCAATTCAATACCCTATTACCAAAAGTATATTAATTAATAATTATACCTACATATTAAAAAAGACTATTTTGGAAAAAATAATATAATGCAGAAAATGGCAGTGCTTGACAAATTAAAGTACTCGACAATTACATATACCTACTTTTATAAGAAATATTACCGTGAACACTCTGTAGGTGTTTGAGCCATTTTTCTGTTGCAAAGATTAGTAATATATAAATGGGCGGAAAATGTAGTTATAGAATTTATTTTGATGTTTGTATTCCTGGTTATACAAAAAAACCATGAAGCACCCAAAATAGTTATTTGTGTACCAAGGCCGTAAAAGTGATCTTTTTTGGCCGAAGCTGCTGTTTGTGGCCGAGGCGATAGCCGAGGCCGCAATTCAGATGAGGCCTAACAAATCACTTTTGGCCAAGGTGCACACAACATTTTTTAGGCGATCATCAAAAAAGAATTCAAAAATTTGCTCATAAAAGTTTTTTTTTTAAGTTAATTGGTAGGTGTATTTGAAGTAGGTACTGACAATAATCAAAAAATGAACTACTCAAATGCAATAATTCTTGCCAGCTTGGTATTTTTCCTAATTAAAACGGTAGGTAATTTATGCGGCTTAACTGAGAAATTAATATAAACATTCAATTAATGCAAATATGGTAGGTACTCCTATAAACAAGATGGAAGGTGGGTGTGTAGCAGAATCTTAATTAAATTGTATAATTGTGTTGTATGTCGGACTCTCATTAAAATTTAATGAACTAATCTAATAAATTGTAGCAATGCAATTAAAACGTGTTCTAATTAATCACATATACTTCGCATTTCATTAACGCGAGTCATACTTGTGGATAAAAAGCGAGGAGACAAGCAGGTTGCAAGACTGACCCCGACGGTTAGGCAACACATCTCACAACAAGACTGGAAATATGAGGAATATCTTGTGAGAGAACCATAATAGAGAAGGTTGAGGTCTTGGTTATACGATTGTGGAGCGCGCGGGGGGGGGGGGGCGCATTCCATTCTTCTGTTCGATAAGTCACTATGTGTAATAATCGACTTTAAAGTACTACTTAATAAGGATATCATTCCTCCGTTTCTGACACTTTCAAAATGGCAAGCAACTCACGCGCAAATCCTTGCTAGAGTATTCCCCACTTTAGTTAGTGCTTCGGCTGGTGAACGCACTATAACTTCAAGGGCATCCTATATATCATGTATAACATAATCCCGTTGGCGTAATACTAACCACATCCATCTACCATTATAGGGATTTTTATTCTTGATTATGAATTATGATCTATCTATCTCAAATTCCCCCAACTTTTCTACTTCTTGTACAAAAATATTTAAAACAGTTTTATTGAAAAGCCTACAAAACGTTACGCTTGCATTTTTAGTAAGTCTCACTGTTCTCGTAACTAAATTCAATAAGCGCAAGAGCATTTTCCCCATATACGATAAATGCCCCTATACATAACCTTACAATTACTTTAGTCACATTGTCCTTGCAGGTTTGCATTTCTTTGTACGTTTGCAATGAATTTCTTCAATAGAGTCGGCCAAATAGGTCTAGGAGTCGCCCTAGTTGGAGGTGTGGTTAATTCCGCATTATATAACGGTACAAAGATGCAATCCTTTTCTCTACGCTAATGGTTTTAATTGCAGTTGATGGAGGACATCGTGCCGTAATATTTGATAGATTTTCTGGAGTAAAAAACCAGGTTGTAGGCGAGGGCACACATTTTTTTATTCCATGGGTCCAACGACCGATTATATTCGACATTCGATCGAGACCTAGAAACGTACCAGTAATCACTGGCAGCAAAGGTAATCGGCCAATTTATGTTGAATTTGTAACAAAAACTCTTTAATTTCAGACTTGCAAAATGTGAATATCACCCTACGTATCCTCTTCAGACCTTTCCCCGATCAACTACCAAAAATCTACACAGTCTTAGGTCAAGATTACGAAGAACGTGTTCTCCCGTCAATTACGACAGAAGTTCTCAAAGCAGTTGTAGCACAGTTCGATGCCGGTGAACTTATTACACAACGTGACTTGGTTTCCCAGAAAGTCAGCGACCACTTAACAGAACGAGGGGCTCAGTTCGGAGTTATTCTAGATGACATCTCCATTACTCATCTGACCTTTGGTAGAGAATTCACTCTGGCTGTCGAATTAAAGCAAGTCGCACAACAGGAAGCGGAAAAGGCCAGGTTCTTGGTAGAGAAAGCAGAACAGACCAAGAAGGCGACAGTTATATCTGCCGAAGGTGATGCTCAAGCCGCTGTACTACTGGCAAAGGCATTCGGAGATACGGGCGAAGGTTTGGTCGAGTTGAGACGGATTGAAGCTGCCGAAGATATTGCGTATCAATTGTCTAGATCTAGACAGGTTTCATATCTTCCAACTGGCCAGAATTTGTTGTTAAACTTACCAACAACTGCCACTCAGTAGTAAATAGAAGATCGAAGGCATCCTAATAGTTGCTGTGGTGCATATGTGGTTATAAATATACCTAATAAGAAGTCGTTTTTACTATGATACTTCAGACTGGTGCATTAAATAAGAAAGGGCCAAGTGTTTATATTTAAGTTGCTATTGTATCAAACTGCATTTTCTAATATATGAAATGTGAATTTATGAATATCTTCTTTGTCATTTTGTACCTGGGAGAGACTTCAAAATTGTAGTAGATATTTTAGTAATTTGCATATTTTTTTACCACCCCTGAATTGATGGGAGTATACTTCTTCATTTAAGGCATTTAAAATTGGATCAAAATAATCATACTCATGAAATTTCCAAATTAATAAATTATTAACAAAGCAAAGTTCCTGGAAAGAATTTGACAATAAACACAATAAAGGCTCAGATTCTTTTTCTTAATTTCCTTGTAATAGCCCTACTATTACCGTCTCACGTTTCTGATTGATAAAAAATAAATCTACATAAATAAACCGATTATATTGAAAAAAATAAAATAAATCCAAATTCCACTGCACTCACAATTGATTTCCTTTTTTATATTAAATCTTAATTACTCAATTACTTACATCTATCCTGAATCTGAATAATATTTAAATTTACTTAATATAACACTTAATTAAATACCTACAGCAATGAATATTCTTCTAACTTCTAACTTATATTTATCCTATCTATATAAAACCATTCGGCAAAAACAATTATAAAATGACAAAATAAAAATTTTATATGAATAAATTTCTAGGTAAATAACTTTTCATAAAAATAACTTACAATTTAGACAGTAGTATTCTTCCCCTTTTTAGATGGTGGGTATTGTAGTGGAGCATGATTTAGATTATTCTCAATCTTCGCCTATTAAATCCAATCGCGTAATCCCAATTGAACAACAATTTCTTAGCGCGCTTTTCGTACTTTAGGTATAATTTCTGAACGGAAGTCTTTCAATCGCACGTTAAACTAAACTGCAGTTACTCAATGATTAATATTTTCCGAACAATTCACTATTCCAGAACGACCAACTTGTTCTTGGTTAAAAAATACGATTTTTTAATTAATACGCGCAACAAATTTTATTTGGTTTGGGCCTTTTTACTTAAATGGCCCGTTTCCGCGATGACACTCGCCCGTGCGAATATCTACGAAAAAAACTTTATAAGTGGTGGCCGCGTTTTCCGCGGCGGTACCACGCTCCGCGTGAATATCTACGCAAAAAGCTCCCAAATTTCTGATCATTTTGGTTTTTATATCGCGAGTAAACCAACGCCCGTAATTAACGCTCCCATCAAGTTTCCGGAAATAAACAAACTCATAATTTTTTTGCCTCGCTGTTTTATTACATATTTTTCTTAGAATCTATTGCGTCTTTTAACCGGTGACCTTTTTTAAATCACGTACTAATCGTTAACTCGCCCAAAATAGGAAGTCCAAAACCAATAACTCATCTTATATTTCACGATATTTGAAACTTAATTACATCGAAAAAAAAATGTTTGTTAATTTTAATGAACATTACAACTTCACAGAAATCTGAATCATCGATACGCATTTCTACCCGAATATAATTTTGAAATCCACAAAACTTGCAAAATTTAACAAGCTTCCGTTAC